AGTATAGTCCATCCCTCAAGAATTGCACCAATCTACAATCTACAGTTGCCACGACACGGCTCTTAGTACCAACGATATCCGCTGGCCATCAGCGAATATCTTGATTCCTCTTAGGGAGGAAAATGAAAAGTACCCTTTTCAGGGACTCCCCAATATCAGGAAACCATACACAAACCTGCAAAAAGGATCCCTGACATTGACCTAGATGTGAACAGGATTCTTCTGAGTTTTCTCAAGGTTATGCTGCGATACTTCGGGCTCCGACTGGGCCATCGCTGCCAGCCTGGTAGAACTCGTCCCAGTTGCACACGTTGGAATTATCCTGGCAAGAGGAGTTTCTCAGAAGCAAGGAGCCAAAGAGATAGGCATTCCTCAGATCTGCAGCTTCGCCCACGATCCGACAAAGGGCTGTTGCCAACAAGAGAGCCATGGCGACGTCACCAATGAAATGCCTCGCTGAGAACTTGCCTAATCCTACCTAGGACCTAGAACCAGTGATGTGTCGACGCAGTCGGCAAGCCTTGTCGAGGACAGTTCCTTGGTTTCTGAATAAGCTTATGACAAAAGTCGGTTGTCGTCCGCAAGTCGGCAACGCAGTGAAGACCAGCTCAAACCGTTCAGTTAGCCTTGCAGCCTTTAAGGTCTGCACTATTGCATGCCGGCGGCAAGATGCAGCATCCAAACCTCAAGACTCGCTTTTGTACGCCACCCATGGCCTTGCAAGCCAAGGATCGCCAGGCTTTGAGAAAGTGGCCATATTTCGCAAGAAGCAGCGACCTCAAGCAATCAGGCCAAGCGGAAGTGTCAGTTCCAGTATACTGCATGCACACCTTCAATTTCAATTGCAAAGCTCCTCTCATTCGCCGAAGGAGTCTAGCGCCAGAGCTTGAGACGACCCCAAAACCATCAGAACTCTTCTTTCGGGATGCAAAGCCACGAGTATACCACCAGAACTACGCACTAAATGAACCCATCGACATCACCCCTGAAGAACGCGCTAAGAACGTTCAAAAGCCTTAAAGAAGCCCCACAAAAAAAGATGCCTTGAGAACCCATGGGCTCCCCCAGAGGGGAGCTTCCTGAGAGCTTGGGCTCGGACCGGATCTCCTGAGCAGCCTTCCTGAGCTCAACGCACCGATCTTGGATACTGAAACCACGGTTTGGGGGGGGGGGGGGGTGGTTAGGGTTTAGGGTTTGGGGGGGGGGGGGGGTGGTAGAATTAGTAAAACTATGTCAGCGTTATGAAAGTATAGGGATGCTAGCAACACAAAGGGAAGATACCAACAGGGGATACGACTTCTTCATCAATGTCAGTATTAACATACTATGCGGGTCTTTACCCCTCTATCAGTGTGACTGACCCGACTAACCTTCGCGAATGATGTTCGTCGTCGCGGAAGGTTGCCGGCCCCCTTGAGGTTTGGGGCAGCCATCGAACGCGAGTCCTGTTGCGCCTGACAGCTCTTGGATCATAATTGCCAGATGCGGCTAGGAGTACGTGAGGAGCGATCTGGCCAAATCTCGAAGTACGCACTGAGTACATGCTTCTGTTGAAGTTGATGCAACAACACATAACTGCATGCACACATATATACATACATACATCCATTCATGCATCCGTCCATCCATGTATACATACATATAAGCATGGTGACTGAGCGAGCTGTACCGGCTGGGCGCCGGGGTCCGGTGGCTCGAGATTCCAGTCGCCACTGTGCCAGCGCAAGGCAAATGACTACCACGCGCAAGCTGCCTTATCTTACTACCCCAACAAGCCACAGAAGTAAAAGGCTAAACTTTCCGATTCCTACTAAACTACAAGAGCCCAAAAAGCTCAAAGGTTGGGTATTGGGGATCTAAGATATTTAAGCTGCCGGATCTAAGCTGAGCAACTGACCGCTGAACATTATAATATACTATAATATACTATAATGTACTATAATGTACTATAATGTACTATAATGTACTATAATGTACTATAATATACTATAATATACTATAATATCATCATTTTGATTGCTACAAGCTGATTACAAATACTGTCGGTGACTGTATACTGGATACTGGCCACTCATATTGCTGCGAACCTTGTGCAGCTACTACTCTAAGCAGCATCTGAGTCCGGGAATCGGATTTCGCTCCGCGACGAGGTAGGCCGGAGGCCTCCAACCATCCAAAAACCTGGAGCTCAGTCGTCTTTTTGATGCTTTCAAGCCTTCCTGCCAAAGACCCTGATGATCCTTTAGGCCTTGCGCCGCAAAGCCCTCAGCCAAGTCGGTAGACGAAACCAAAGAATTGCGCCGAAGGACTGGTGCAATAACTAGATTCCCTAAATGGGCCGAAGTCTAGAATCAGCCCATACCGCGACTTAGGGTTTCTCCAGTCAGCGCTGATGCGGGCTTCATGCTTGCGGGCTATGGCATCATTTTGTTTGAAATCTATATGGCATGGGCTTGGAAATATTCAGGGTTCTAAGCTGCCCCTCTGCTCCTCAGACAGAGTCACTCGATGTCTTGGAAGGTGATGCACTTCCTTGGGATGTCTTGTTGGACATCGAGCTTCGAGGAACTTAGCCGATCCACTGACCGTCTTTCACAATTCTCGGCGGTCTGGGACAAGGCCTGGACAGTTCTCAAAACAAAGCCTGTGCCAAACAGCCCCACGTAGTGCCAAGCATCTTTTCTTGCCAGTCCAGCCAATACACAAGCTCCTCCAAGCAGCACTTCACAGAAGATCTCTGAGTCGACGGATGCTGAAGCACTTGTCTGATGTCTTGTTTTGGGCATTGGATGGGGGCCAGCTGACAACCCCTCGCACTAAGCTCGAGGCCCGTTGAATCTAAAGATGGCGAGGTACAGCTCTTGAACTTGACAGACTGCACCCTGAACTACTACTGGCAGGCCAGTGCTCGTGGCCGGCAGAAGCCCAGCGGTTTTGAAGCTGCAGTCAGCAAGCTCGCAGGCAAGAGGTTCGAGTTCAAGGGCAGAAATCACCGTCAGGACTTGAAACCAATGTAACTCGCTTTGCCGTAGCCAGGCGAACCTGTGTGTACTCCCTTGGGGGGACAATGAGACCCTTGACCGGCTGTACTTGGATTTCTACCACTTCCAAAGCATCCTTGAGCTCGGGCTCCGCGAACTCTGCTCCCAGCTGAAGGCATCGGCGAACAAAGAGATCGTGGCCTAAGCCGAACAAGGCTTCAGAGCTTGTATTGGTTTCACAGACTCAGGCTTGTCGGACCAAATGAAGCAGAGGCGCCAAACAAACACGGATTTCAGTGGTAGGTTCGGTGCCGCCGACCCGATGATTCTGATATGTTCGATATGTTTTCTGCCTCGGACCACTCCTTACCCGATCTGCAAACCGCCTTTTATTCGCTTGGCATGTGTCTGATTCGTTGCTTCTCCTGCTTGTCGATGGCTTTCCAGAGGCCATAGGCCGGCCTGCAGAGGCACAGAATTTCTGCTTCATGTAGGGGCCGTATAATTGGAATAGGGCTTTGGGTGACAGTATACTACCAATATAATAAGTGACCAGCAGCTGTCACCAGCTGTCACCACCACCGCATATGTCTATGACGATGAAAGAAGAGCTATTGAAAGGACAGTGTACGTGCATGTAAGTACACACATAGTGTTGGTACATGCACAATTGCATCGTATGCACAAGAGATTAGACAGCATAAATATTGGCATACACACATTCTTGAGGCATAAAAACTGCACTGTTACCACGCGAACGCATGCAAAATAAGCACACGATCAGCAGTTCTACACTTGTTCGCACTGGTATAGTATATGTACGCATGTTTGTATTCAAAAGTGTATTCGTAGGAACATTCTAACATGTCGACGGAAATTCCTTTGGGGATGTCAATCTGCGCATGGTCGTAGGAAGCATACATGTCCTTGCAATGAAAGCAATGCTTGTCCACGTACAACCCTTCCCAGCATTTGGTCCATCAAAGCATCAAGTGGCGCCGAAATCTTTCTCTACACAACGTCCGAAATCATTGCCAACAAACGCCACGCGAGAAGATGTGAACAAACGCCGACAGACCTTTCGGTGACAACAGTCTGTGAACCGATCCAGATTGACGACCTAGCATGTGCCAGCCAACAGCTTTTGTTCTGCAGCCGCGTCTTTCGCGCAGTGAGTCTCCAGGAAGGACGCGCTGTGCGGTCTCGGCATTCGAGAAAAGTTCAAGCTGCCGAGCCTCCAATGGAGCTTTGCAGCTTCCGCTCGTAGCGAAGATGATAACCTCTATCCGGCCGAAGATGATCCAACAGGACGAATCGTCAGGATGAACAAGAGCAGCATTGGCCCAAGACTGCCAGCTTTGCCAGCTCCAAGTCTTTGCAAAAAGAGCTGGCTTCACCGCCGATGCTTGCAGGACCAGTTGTAAGTGTCTGCACACCCCAGCTACGAATCCACCAAGCATAACCTGAATCTGAATATGTGGTTTCTGCCTCAGTCGGAACCGATGTAACACGTTCCCACGCTCTCTAACTCCCTACAATCAGGGCTGAACAGAAGAGGTGGCGATCAGCCGGATCAGGATGTAATGAATTAGCACGGCATTGATCTGCAAAGTACATTCATCCACGTCTTATCGACGTCACGAACGGTGGATGGAGCTAACTGACGCAAACTCTGTTTCAGCTCAACATGCTCCGTTCAATTATATATAGCTATGTAACCGAAAAAAAGGCCGCCTGGCAATGAGCCAGGCATGGGCCTTTTAAAACATCTCTTGGCAGATGCTGTGGGAGCGCAAAGAGGTCCGGAAGCACCGAACCATCCAATGGTGTCGTTCGGAAAAAAAAAAGAACTTCCTCGCAGGTCAGAGCACGAAGAACGTGGCGACCGTCAGTTCTGGAAGTCCACCGAACCTACCTTTGATGTCGGCCTAGACCGACATTTTTCAGCCTTTCGCCTTCGAGTGTAGATGCATTTAACTAGTTGCGCTGCCATAAACGAGCTTGAAGCAAAAATTGAAACTAGCTGGCCTGTGATGTTGATGCGGCATGCCACTGCATTGTGAGCTGCTTCACATCGAGCATGCACAGGGGCTTGACCAACAAGGGAAATGTTCTCTGCGGTGCAGATGGGTCGTTCCTGTGCCTGGGCTGGTGAAAGTCTGTGTCTCGGTGCTGCTGACATGTAACACTGGCGGCTAGCGAGTGCCCGGGGTGTCAGGCACCGGAGGCCTTCGTCAAGGAAACGAGACCGAAGAACCACCCAAGCCTGAACATACCTGAACACCCGAGCCGACACTCCCAAACCATCAAGTTTGGTACCGAGCTGCGTTTCTAAGTGCAAGCCAGGGGTTGGAATGCACGCGAGATGTCGGAGTTGATCGTTTACGCTTCTCCTGGCAGGTTCCAAGCCCAGCTTCGGAAGCCTAGTACCCAAGCTATGCATCAACCGTAATACTCCTAACTCCAGAGGCTGACTAAGCATCGTGAAGGTGCCCTGACTAAACCGGCGCATCAGCTGAACCAGGCGATGTATGGTAACCAACAAACGAGCATTGCACCGTCATGACATTGGGCCGGGTTCAGCTATCAGTAAGATAACGCATGCCTCCGCGATATCTCACGACAAACCTCATGTTGCGAACGACACGCCCAACTCTCAGTTTCAGCTTTCAACGGCCCTCAGTTGGTGATATAAAGTACGAGTAACATCCTGGCAAAATCGTCCAAGTACCGGGTACCCAGTCTATGCAACCTGCGATTGTAGAAACGACGTGTGTGTGTGTGTGCCTGCCTCAGGGCAGCAACGGATGACAACGAGCTGCCAACTGAGCCGTCACTGCTGTCCCGCTCCATGGAATCGATGCTGGATATCTGCGATGAACCATCATCTTCCAGGAGCCCTGCCTTAGCCCAATGACTCGTCTGAAATTACAACTGTTATCACCACGAACAGCTCCCGTGGCACGACCATGCGCGACCCGAAGTCGTGAGAGTACTAATGTGTCTTTACAGGATTTTACAGGTATAGTCTTAATTATTGACTCGGGTTTTAGGCTCGAGCGCTTTTGCTACTGCAGGCCAAACCACGTACGTGATTACTTGCTGTGGGTCATCCTCTACGAAGGACTGGATGTGTTCCAGAATTTCCGCAGTCAGCCACCCTTGCCGCAGGAACTGGCCTTTCCACAAAAACTCACGAATGAAGCATGTCTTGCACCGTGCTCTGCGCTTCCGGATCTCGTCGATGATTGCAGCTGCATCGCAGCCACATGCTGGCCGCAGGTATAGAAGTGAGCGGTATCGGCGGCGGCGAAGCTGAATCTGTTCCCTTTGTTGCGCGCAGCCCTGTTTCGGGCTGTTTTCATGTAAGCCGGCGAATTGCTTTAGAATTTCGGCTGTCAGAGGTTTTTGGTGTGCATGTAGGCAGCGAGTTCGCTGGTTCATTGCTTGGAGCCCGGCAGCATGAAGGACGGCGGAGCATACCCGGAGGCTTGTGAATGCTGCAGGGCTTGCCTGGCCTAGCCACACAAACCGTCCGCAAGCAAAACAGCAGAAACAGCTGAATTGGTTCATCAGTTGCTCGGGTTCATCGAGCACACACATGCACAGGACGGCGGACTCAAACATCTCAAAGGAGATCTGCAAAACTTCCTCGTGGTCACAGGACATCATCACTTCAGCCAAGGAGAGCCGAATAGAAATAAATATGCACGTGCTCAACAAGCCATTGCTGTGGCGAGGGTTCTCCATGAAGTAGACAAGGCTGTTCAACGAGTTCATAAATTTCAGCTGTGCAGATACAGCTGCCAATATAAACAAAAGAGTCGCCTGAAGGAGGAAGACCTTCTTTGAAATCGACAAATCCTTGCCTGCGGCGAGACACACACAGTAGGATGTGGCAGACACGAGCGGGAGCACGCACATCATCATCTCCATGCGAACTTTGTGGCGAACAGAAGCTGTGCACCATGGCTGAGACAGGCGGGCAAGCGACTGCATGCTGCCAGAACAAGATATGTGGAAGCAGTCTGAACGATCATAAGCGAACCTTTATTCTGTACTATGCAGTACCCACTCACCTGTCAAACTGAGTCAAGCTTCGATTGCGATTCTGGATGGTCAGTCAAAGACAGCCATCTGTACGGCTGCTTCGGCATGAGCGTTGAGCCACGGGCAAGCGGCTAACACTTGGGTCATGTTCGGAATATCCGAGACTCGAGCTACATTACAACCTGAGTCATCCTGCAGCATGCGTGCTTAGACGTGCCTTCAACTTGCACATATATATACTGGAAGAAGCAATCAAACAAAGGGAAAGGCCTCGCAACCCACTGCGAAACCTTGGTCTACGCCTTTTCCCTGGCCACCACCAGAAGAGACAAGGCCTGTTGCCAAAGCGTTTCTCACCAAAGCTGCGAAACCTGCGACCAAGTGAGGCGGGCACTTCATTCTCACAAAGCCACAACACCTCTCATCAAGTGCGGCATCGTTTCTGAGAAACACCCTCGGCCTCATTCCAAACTTCGGCTCTCCACATAGAGGTTGGATTTTTCTCAAAGGGCAAACGAGAAGCACCATGGCCCGTGTACGGGCCATACGGGCCCTACTTGCGCTCGACTGAAACTGTTCCTGCCTAATGAACGCCCATGGCATGTCTGCAGAGCACGACTTACACAGGCTGGATCGTATCAAGAAGTAATGGGAGGCCTCGCCAGCTGCCGCGCGCAGCTGGGGTCCAGCTCTTCCAGAGAAGCGGTTCCTTGTGGATTGTTGAGCACTCGCACTCGACCACGTCTTGACTGTAGTGCGTGCCAGATGGGAGGGACAACCGCACTCCTACGGTATGCAGGGAATTCTTGAAGCTACGGCGAAACAAACGCACAAACAGACAAAGACTCTCACTCTCAGCTCTCCCGGAAAGGCCCGCACAGAACCCCACTGTATCGGCGTATCGAAGAGGATGACATGCAAACGGGGACAATGCATCGGAAATCAAATCTACACTCCTTACGCGGCCATAACTGACATCGGGCTGCCATTGCCCCCATTGTCCAGCGCCAGCCAGAGGCAGGTAGTATCCCCTTTCCAGCCTCAGAGACTGCAGTTTAACTAGGGAGGCGATGTGCAGCTGCAGTGGGGCGAAGCAGGCAGCCGCCGGAGAAAGTGCAGTTACAAGCAATGGCGGGCTCGGGCTGTTGAGAAGAAGACTACATGCTCCACCCTGCTCGAGTTATAAGCTCCAAAAGTTGCCCCGCTCGGCTCAGTCACCACAGGATTTTTCCTTGTTCTGCGACTGCGAACTAAGTCGTCCTGCGGTACTTCGAAGGTGGCTGCTGCCTAGGATGGCAGATTGTTTCTCCAGGCTCCCTTCGCACAAAGCATGTCTGTGGCTGGTCTGAACGGTCAATGCAAGGCCTTCTTGGAAAAAACGACAAACGACAGGAAACATCTCAGTGTCCGAGTCTGTCCGAGGGACCCGTTCTCGGGATGAAGAAGCGTCTTCACAAATCGCCTTTCATGGCCGTGGCTCTGCATCAACAACACCGAATGAGTCGTTGCAAAAGGCCTTGCAAAACCTGCGCAAGGCAAGACGATACCAAATCTCCCTCTTAGTGAACCCCAGCAAGATGACCAAAGATTTGGAAAGCCTTCTAGCCACCCCCCTTCCCTGAATCATTGTTTCACGGGGCCTTCGATTTCCCTGCACTACCGGAATACCGTCCCTGCTGGAAACAGTCTTCAGTCCACTTCACCCGGTGCTCTTCGGCCGCCTTAAGAATGGGGCGCCATGCTCTTCGGGATCATAAACCCCTTCGCCCTCGGCATCGCAGAATTGCCGCCACATCAAGGCGCAGGCCTGCACTGTGTTCTTGTTAAGGAGTTTACTTCAAGATGCCATATAATGGGGATGTTCAGGATTTAAACTTAAAGATACCATAATAAGGATCTATGGTAAGTAAATGTGGTTTCTTGATTATGGAAACCTAAATGAAAGTCCTTATAAGAAGAAACCACTGTGCATCAACATCAGGAAGGGTCTCGAGCGGATCCCCTGCTTCCCGGTACACTACCAATCACTCTGCCGCGTTCTTGTAGCACCTTTCCGAATTTTGCCCGCAAATATCCATACGTACATACATATTTGCATACAAACAAACATACATTCCGTCCATCCATCCCATCCCATAACATTACATTACACTACTTTACAATATGTTTTTTGTCACTCGTGCTCGACAAGTCAGACGAGGGTTGAGGGGAACTCGACTTCACAATGCACTGTTCACATTGGAACAGCCAAACAGCATTAACCTACAGTTTACGGCTTGTCCGAAATACATCCACGTCCACATCCATGTCCACAACCAAACCCAACTCATCACCACTGTGCAGTGGCATCCGACAGAGCGCCAGCAACCTTGAAGCCTCACCCACCAAGCTGGTGGAAAAGGAGGGCAATCCCTCCAAAAAGGGGAAAATCTCCCCATAAAGCATATCCAGCAGTCACCACCTCGTAAGCATGGGTTGTGACAACCTCTCTCAGATCCACGCGCAGTCGGAATACAAAGAAGCTGAGAAACTCAGCCGGAAAGATCACAGAGCCACGAGCCCCGAGTGCTATTCAATACCACATACCAGGCGGCTTGAAGCTAAGGCGCAGCCAAAAGCACAGTCCAGCAACTAAGAGGAGGAGGAGGCAGTTGGGTGCAGCGTCCAAGAAACAGCCCAAGTCCATGGTAGAAAACACCACATCAAAGATGTCCAGGTTGCAGCTTGCAGCGAAAAGGCTGGCAAGCCTCTTCCAAGAAACAGCCCAAGTCCATGGTAGAAAACCCACATCAAAGATGTCCAGGTTGCAGTTTTTTTTTCTTCCAGTACTTGACAAACGCCACCTCAAGGCCCACGGCCCACAGTGTCCAGATCTCCCAGAGCTCCCAGATTCAAAGGGGGTTATACCCTTAAGAGCCGCCCCAGCTCTGGAGCCGACCACTCAAGGAAGTGGAGGGCCTCCTACAGGCAGCCCTTTGTGAGAGTTTATCAAAAGCGTATGACCATGTCTCGCCAGCTTCTGGTTTACCATATACCAGGAGCTTGTCAGGACTTCCGAAAGAAAAGCTGCCAAATGCTCGAGGTAAAGGGGCGAGCGCCTGTATGTCAGCGCAGGTGCAGCAAGCGGGCCATGGCATTAGGGCAAGCCCGGGTCTTCTACAGTTATGTCCGAGTCCTCGCTCAGTACGAATCGTAATATTGGGGGATAAACCCCATGCCGGCTTAATGCCAGGTTTGCCAGATGCCGCAATATTGGGGGATACACCCCATGCTCAGCCTTGCTCAGACCCGGGGGATAGACCCCGTGCAAGATGCAGGAGGAAGGGAGGGTGAACCCCGAGCACCATCCATGCACCATCACCCGGAGGAGCAGCATCATCCACCCATACAGGCACATCAGGGAAGAAAAAGAGGCAGAACCAACGCACCATCACCAGGGGCAAAATCAAAATCAGTTCATATATCCATCAGAAAACCAGAAAAACATCATCCGAACGGCATGACAACATGACTACAGGGAGGCCAGCGGCTCTCTTCGTTTTGCTTCTTGGTGCACCGCAATCGGCTCAATGGCGGAACTCGACAGGCGGCAGATCTGTAGCCTGAGAAAGTGTCGAGGCCTCAGCTCGCCCATTTAGGGCTGCGGAAAGCGGGATATGTCGAGGGGGAACCTAGGTCCCAAAAACAGTGCAATATAGTACAATATAGTACAAGGGCAAGGACAGGAAAGTCAGGGCAGTGCAAGCAAAAAGCAAGGAAAGGCAGTGCAAAGGCAGAGGCAGAAAAGGAGTAGGTCAGTGCGGCAGTGCAAAAGGAAGGCAAGGAAGGCATCGTTTCAGGGAGCCCCTTAAAGAAAGATTGCAAAACAGGACCAATCAACAATAATAGTAATTAAGCACAACAGTAAAACTCAACAAAAACTTTGCAGGCGCTCCCTGAATGACGCGTTTGCTATGATTCGGGCCACTCCGTGGCTTGAGGTATAGGCCTCAGAGGGGTCCTCACTGATGCTGAACCGCAGCAGCCGGGACCGGATAGATCTGTCCGTTCCAGACCAAGTTCACCATCTCGTTGGTTTGCGGGTGGTTCGTGACCACCGGTGCCACCGGTGCCGACACAGGAATCTGTTGAGGCATTTGCTGGCCTCCACAGTGCATCGTGGTGGTTAGCGGCACTCCACCAGTGCCTATCTGTCCTGGCCCAGTAGGCTGCATAAGTTGCACCTGGGGCGCCAGTCTCATTGTAGGCGCCGGGACCGAAGCCTGACGTGTGGAGGTACCGGACCCAGGGGTCCCGCCAGAGTGCTGCCATTGTCCTGGAGGTTGAGAAGGAGGGGGCAAAGGCGCCTCTTCAGCAGGCATTTTCGGTGCCGGTGCGGCGGGAGGCGGAGCTTTGGGTCTTGCTGCAGCCAACTTGTTGGTGGACTGCTCGACCGTCACCAGCTTGGTGAGGGCCGTTTCCATTCGCCCTTCCACGTACTGCACTTTCGTCTGCAGCTGTTGCATACTTTGGTTCAGGGCTTTCATCTCCGTCTGGAGATCTTTGACCGCCACCAAAATGGAGGCCAGGTCGTTTCCACCGGTTCCGTCATTACTGCTACCCTGTCGGCCTGACAGGGCATTGTGGATGGAATCCAGCTTTCGGTGAGCATGCTGGAGCCCTTTGCCCACATCCGTGCCCACTGTACTGATCTGGGTGCCGAGCTGGTTGAGGCGGCCATTTTGATCCCACGTCGAATCTTCAACCGCTTTGAGGGCCCGGACGGTCGTGTCTTCCACCAGGAGAATGATCTCCCTGAGTGCGCGGATGTCTGCTCCATGTTCCGGCAGAGGTCCCAAGGTACTCTTGAGCCCATTCAAGATGGGCAGAACTAAGGCCTGAAGAGGCTCGAAGGCATCCCGCATCGCAGCTTCCAGCCGGGGCTGCGAGTAGATGCTACCATCAAGGATCTGCTTGAGCTCCGATATTGTGGCGGCAAGGTGTTCCTTATTCCTTGAAGCAGCAGAGTGCGCCGAATCTTCGACCCACATCTTGACGTTTGTACAGTTGCACAAATATGTGTACATATCTGTCTCTGAACATAGATAATGTACGTGTACACAACGTACTGCAAATTCACATGCACATGTACATATGCATGTAAGTACGTACGCATGCATGCATGTATGTGTGTATGTACGAATAGTATATACACATGTATACTGTATATATATATATATATATATATATCTGTGTGTGTGTGTCTGTGTGTCTATGTGTGTGTGTGTGCTTATGAACGCAGGCATGCAATGCATGCATGCGGTATGTGCGCATGCATGTATGTGTGTAATGTTTTTGCTGCTAATTCGAAAACTTCGAAAACACTTAAGACTGTGTTGCTTCCTGGAGGTGATCAAAACATCGTGCTGTTATGTTCTGGGTCCATCGTATTGGTGTCATTCTGTAGCGTCAAACCGTAGTTCCAAACCAAAGATGAGTCGGTTGGTCATCCGATGTTGATACATCTACTTCTTGAATGACAAGTACAGGAATGTCGCTAGGTTGGTGCTTCAGTAAGCTAGACACATGCAAGGTGTTGCTGCTCTGTTTTTTCGATCAGCAATGTCCTTTGTCACACCCCAAAAAACAACAGGAAAAGCAGGCAGCAAGTAACATTCGACTTTCCGAACTCATTCAAAGGAGAACCTGATCTTCCCAGAACTGCCGAACGCCAGAAGGGACTCTGACTTCGCAGGCACGGGCTGTGTGGCTATACGGCCAAAGCTCCAACAAAGCTCTGACGAAGTGGGCCTCCCTCTTGGAATTCGACGGAGTCGGGGGCTGAGCTTCTGGAGCTTCCCACTTCCTCCACAAGCCGGGCACTCTTGGGATTGGGGGCTCCGAGTAAGGAACACGGTCTTACCGACTTCACAGGGACGACCACGTAGTACTGTACGCTTGATTTCAATGAGTGCTTTCTTGAGTTTCGGCCACTGAGCAACTGATCTTTAGAGCCAGCCTGAACCCGCAAAACCCTTTGCTACGATGCAAAGCCAGACTCAGGTTCTCTCAAGATCAGCATTGCCTCTCTCTCCTGTCTCGTCACCTTGTCTTCTCCCCTAGGCTACCCGCGGCTACCCTGTCCATGCCTGGCTCGCTGCCAGGGAGTCGCGGGAGATGAGCTGGGCTTCGGAGGGCTGACCACCTGTGTCGTGGCCTGCCACGAAGTTTCTTGAACCCGCAGGCAAGGACATGCAGGATCTCGTGCATGTCACTGGCCTGGTAGCATATCCTTCACATATGTATCTATCGATCTATCCATCTGTCTATCGATGAGTGTATATACATACGTATCTGTATACAAATATCCATGCATCTGTCTACCTGTCTGTCTGCCTGTCTATTCCTTTATCTCTATCTCTATATATTCACATCTGCATATCTATGTATGCATCTATATCCCTATACCTATGTGTGTGTATATATATATATATATACATACATACATACATATGTACATATATATATATATATATATATATATATATATATATATATATACATACGTCCTAAAGTTGGCACAGGTTCAGCTCTTGACCAAGCAGTGCTGAGTTTATGACGACTTATCCATCTTTCTTTATGCTCTATTCGGAGGATTGGGCGGATCCCGCGTCTCAGAAATCCCTACAAGCCCAAAGCTGGGCAAATAGCAAAGCTGAGTCGGATCGAGCATGGTTGACTACTTACACTGGCCCAGGCAATCACAGCCGACCAAATACAATCGGGGCTTGCGGTGTCGAGGAAGAGCGCTCACGAATTCTAGTTCGTGGTATGTGCTTTGGCTCGGGGGTCATAAAAAAGCTTGTAACCAGGCAGCTTGCCACCCTGAGCCCCAGATCGCGGGCCTGCAGGATGCGGACATCCGTGCACTTTGGCCGCTCGCCCTGGCAAGAAACTCCATGTAGGGGGCGGCAAAGTAGTAGATAGTAGATACACCATTTTTGCATCCAGCCTGCTACTGCACCTGCTGGGCACCACATGACTATGGAGGCTTATACGACCGAAACCCTAAACCCGGCAGGCTTCATAGCCCTCAAAGACTCAACCCTGAGATCTCAATGCCTAAACTAAACCTTTAAACGGGATGACAAGGCCCTTGGACCCACCCCTCTGCTGCCTGCTGCCGCCCGGCGTCCGGGGCCACCTTGAAGGCCAGCCGCGTGCCCAGGGGAGGGAAAACGCCACCGTCGAACTGGGAGGGAAGAACCTGGGAAAGCTTACCATTCTATATGGGAGGTGTGTAGGTGTGGGTGTGGTGTGGGTGTGGTGTGTGTGTGTGTGGTGTGCATGTGATTAAACTCCATTCTATGTCATGTACAACAGTCTACAATGCGTGCTTTACCCCATGCGGCTGCCAAAGCAGAAAGCTCGTCATAAAATGCCAAAGAGGCGAAAACATCCCCGCCATTGCCATCTGGCTGGATGAATCCGAAGGTCCCGTTGTCGCGCGCAAACTGCCCTGGCGAAACACGGCTGCGAGGTTGATGCTTCAGATGCGCACGTCTGCAAACGCAGCTTTGTCGTGCGACTTTGTTCCGAGCTCTGAAGTTCTTGGGCAAAGCCTAGCAACAACACCTTCCTGATTCGTCAAGTTCATCTCAGCTTGCTGCTCTGGCATCCCCTGTTGTCAAGGCCATGGCCTCTGCGAAGCTCCCGCGTAATGGATCCTGCCGGTCCTGGTCCTAGCGCAGGCTGGCCTCACAGGGCGTATTGAATTTGGGTTTGAGGCTGGTTGAAGGCTTAGGGGTTGAGGGTTTGAGCTATGCATGTGGTTGAGGGAAGGGTTTACGCTCCCGTAACTCGGCGCAGCCTGACGAGGTTTTTTCCGCACAGTCTGCACCCTCCGCCTCAGAACCCTGCACGGTCAAGCAATAGCCACCCACACTTTTACAACCCTACCATCAATCCGATGCCCTAATCCCACAACCGAAGGACAAGCCTTGCGGCTCACGACGTGCTTTTGGAGGATGGCTCGGCTCGCGGGGTACTCGAGACCTTACACAGCCGCGGGTGAGGGCTGTGAATCCTATAGAAAGAGATTAAATAATCAAGCATAGTTATGGGGCGGACAGTTGGACAAGCAAACAGCGCACCTGCAAACGCCTTTGCATACACACGGGCGCAAGGGCGCGCGCGCACACACACACACACATGCATGTATGTACACATCCATGCATGCGCACATACATGCGTATATTCGTGACGTCTCTTGCCGACCATCTCTCCATCTTCCTCTGCATCTGTATAGATATAGATACAGGTGCAGATATGCATATGCGAATGAGTACACATATATACACGTAGCATAACCGTATGCATCACTATACAGCCGTATATAGCCACTCCACAGCGCCGAACAACATCAAGCTCAATAAATGACGTGCCCTAAATTCAGTGGGCGGACTCTGCCTCTGCTGGCCAGCTATTTTCAGGGAGCTGAATTCAACAATATACGCACCCACAGGCATCTGCGCATGAAAGACCATCATGACTTGGTGACTGGGTTTGAGCGGTCGGGGGACTTTGCTCTCACCATGTCACGTGTAGGTATGTCACCCTCGCATGGGAAGATTTTCATGATGTCCCAGCCACACAGCGATGACGCTGTTGGAAAACTTTGGAAGCTCAAAGACTCAAAGATGTTGACCACCGCTCCTTCTGAGTGTCGGACCCATGAGCTGCTGAAGCCGAAGGAACCGAGCCAGAAAATGTGACCACATCCTGCGAGCGCCACGAAGCTAAGCTAGTCTTGACATCCCTTGCGTTTATGCACGACGTAGGCTTCTGATATGCATTGCTGATTCTTGTCAATGGCCCGTGCCCATGCTCTTAGCACAAGACAAGGCCACCGGCGGCCAGCAGTAAAGAACTTGAATCAACGTCTGCATGCCATCTGAAGGCAAACTTTTCAGCGTCAAAAGCTCCTGAGCGACTTCCCCTCAGCTCCCCAAACCTGCAGCTGCGAATCCTCTGCGCGAGGGCGGCCGGTCTTGCGGTCTTCGACGATGCGGAAAGACACCGCGGTACCGATCTCGAACATCTCTCCTCCTGCATTGAATCCATCAAGCTGCGTGTTCGAGACAGAATTAAGGAGCGAGCTCTTCGCTAACAAGCGTGAAGCATCCCAACATGTTGCTGCGATGGGCCCTGCCTTCGCACGACCAGGGCAGGACAAACATCTTGTCATGATTGTGGTCAGGATGCTGGTCACAGCGGATGAAGCCATAGTTGCCGTGGTCCCCTTCCTGACTTGTCAATCAAAGCTAAACCTAAGAGTGCTTTGAAGTCGAATCCCTATCCGCCACCTCGCCAGTGATGGCGGGCACCCAATTGGAAAAGTGATGCCAAAAAGAATAGCTTCCGGACAACAACAGGCAAAGAGCTAGCACGAAGATGTCACGCGATTACATCGGACAAAAGAGATACTGACAAGCAAGCGATTGTAGCATGACGGTGTGATGATTGAAGGGCAAGCAGTTTTCATTGCCAGAAGGGCACCGATTCACCAGATCTTACTGCGCGATTCTTGCTTGGAGTGTCGACTACACGTCCGAAAATCAGCATTACTCGGAGCAGACGGCCGTCTGCGGGCTATGGGCTGACAAGGTGTGAGGATATGAGGATTTGGAGTCACATGGAGTGTTGCCCGAAATCGGATTCTGAGAGAAGCGTCGATGACTCCAGTGTATCGATCGTCCGCCCCGTCAGGCTTGGCAGGGTGCACCTCGCCAGCTGCGACAGTTTCGTCAAAAGTGGCGACTTTCTGTTGATCGCATGGCTCTGGACATGCAAGCAATCGGCTGGAAGCTCCTGGCTGCTGTAAAGCAGCAGAGGAAGTTCCATCCCTGCTTCATTCAATTTCTCCAGTCCTCTTCCTCTTTGCGGCCAATGGGCATCCAAAGCAAAGTAGGCATCTGTGTTCGAGCCACCTTGGCCGACATAGGTTTGGGGATGCCACCAGCCGAGCTTACTTCCGGCAGCACATATCTGCGGGTAGTTCTCCACTGCAGGACCCATGACATGGCATTTGCATTGCTTTAGATTGGTAGGGCTTGCCTCGTTTGCTGCTCCCGTGTGCCTTCTTCCCTGACACATTTGGTGCCCGAAAAACTCATGTGCTTGTCCGCAAACGTTCCACAACATTGGGCTCTCGAAGTTCAGCGGCACCTGGGTAAGCAACTCCGACATAATATATATATATATATATATATGTATATATATATATATATATGTACTTTATATACACATAAATATGTGTGTAGTCTCTACCTCCGAAGCTTCCGAGCGCTTCTGTTCGCACGGCAAGCTGCCAATGTCCCAAGCTTGCCAGATGCAAGCTTGGTTCATTCAAAGATAGACGTACCGCCAATCTTCTACACTTTACTAGCATGCAGAGACACGAAGCTCGCTGGCCGCCACGGATCAGTATGGAGCCACGAATTCTGTACTTGCAATATAAGGCTGCATGACCTGTTCTCAGCAATAATTCTGCTCAAGCTGCTGGCGCGCTGCTTTGTGACAGTGCCTCACATCGGGTGCGAGGCAGCCACAGCAAGCCCCTATAGGCGCTAGGCCCTGGTCCTTAACATCCTTGCAGCCCACTTAAACAGTAAAGCCACGCCGATTCAGCACGGTCAGCAATGATGTGAGGGCAATTCGTCGTCTGGCAGCTGAGCATGCCAAGATAGTCTTTCATGTTCCCTGCAGCAAAACGAACAGCAAAGGTTTAAACAAATGCGACTGAGCTTCATGTGACGACGGCACCCAGTGGAGGCAGCTCGCCACCAAAACCCGGGCCTTTGCTGGACCGGGCATATCTTCAAGCACTTTCCGACCCCTGTGCTTCACGAGCAGGAGTTGCAAAGGACTCAACTCTCTCTCTCTCTCTCTCTCTCTCTCTCTCTCTCTCTCTCTCTCTCTAACTCTCTAACTCTCTAACTCTCTAACTCTCTAACTCTCTAATTCTCTAACTCTCTCTCTCTCTCTATCTCTCTCTCTCTCTCTCTCTCTCTCTCTTCACCCTGAAAACATTTGCAAACAGACTAGCGACTCTCAAGACCATCTGCCGTTCTGACTCGAACACTCAGAATATCCAAGGCTGTCGACAGCAAAACAAACTGGCACCCTGAACAACTACCCGAACCCTGTTATCAAGGCATTTAAAATACCTAACCGTGTTAGGAAGGGAAACTTGCGCCTTTACTGGATCCTTTACTCATTTCAACTCTTGCTCAAATGGTCGTCTTTGGAAGCCTGGGCACAGTTTGACGGTATGACGAGAATCCGATCGTCACACTCTTCTGACATGATGAAGCCGTATTTCTGGGTCCTGCCGATGTGAATGGATCGTGGGCAGGTTGCGAAAACCGCATCCCGCTGGAGAGGTATAGGAAAACGTGGCAAGACATGACTGCTGAAATGATTGCTCGCTTCAGAAAGTCTCCCGGCCTCTTGGTAATCTCCCCGGTAACAGAAAAGTCTGAGAAGTCCTGGCTTCGCCTGAGCTGGCAGAGGTATTGGTTGCCCGAGAAGTGCTCGACAGAAAAAGGCCCTCGTGTGAACGGACAACGCCAAAAGTCAGCCGCCGCTACCAGCTACGCAGCGCAAATGAAGGCTTGATATCTCATGGTAGGTGGCAACGCACAAGGAGCTGAAGACACCGGTGCGACTAGAGGGGCGCAAGTATAGATCCCTTGGATGGTGTCAACATGCCAAGAGGCCAGTGCGGTTGTTCATCTTTCGGTTGCCACCGCGCCGACTTTGACTGTGGACCTGGCACATGTTGTGACGAAGCAAAACCATGCAGTCAGGCGTGCGAAGTCGACAGAATTCGACCAACATGGCCGGTGCCATGCTTCCTTCACAAACGTGTGAGCAGCACCGTGGCCCTCCAGCACGACGTCTTCTGCACGCGGCTTGCCAGTTTTCTTGTCGGTGCAAAGGGTGAACTCGACCCTGCCAGCTATGCGCTTGGAGGAAAGGGGCTCGCAAACTGCAGATGGCTGCGAATGACAACTGCTTCAGATCGGTCAAAGCCTCGCAACAAGGTCGCATCGTCGGGAAAACTGGGGTTTCAAGACCTGGTACGGAGGGGCAGGTCGGGTAGGTTCCTTTACAGGACGGAGAAATCTTGCACCTAGGGCCCAAAGGCAAAACAATGTCAAACTGGCCGACGCATCTTCTTGCCGATGCCTTGTCCCAGGTTCGGGCAGCACACCATAAGGGCAGGACAGCGGCAGGACAAAGATCTCTTCACGAGTCTTGTCCTGGAACACATCACTTCTTTGTGACTGCAGCGAGGTAGGGACAGGTCAATTTTTAAATTAACCGACAGTTCAGCACCTTTCTGCTTGATCGAAACATTGTCAATTTAGACATTGAAAACTATCCTGTGCTGATCCCGCTTAATTACTTGGCAAGACTTAGCGCCACATGCTAACCAAAAAGCAGCAATGCCAGCCTGCATGAGGAAGCCGAACTGTTTGTTGTCTTTGTACATGGTCCCCTCGGCTGGACAACTTCGAACACGACAAACAAACCCTTCGGGAGGCCGTGAGCTGACACGGGGCACCAAGCACAGACCAAGCACAGCTTGACCCCACAGTCTACAGAACTGCCCTTCTTCCACTGATGCCGCTACTGCTCCTCCAAACGACTACGACGACGATGGCGACTTCTAATTACCACTATCTCTGATACTGCTGCAATCACTACCTGCATATTTACTCATGGCCGTTGAAGTCTTGCACCGCCTGATGAGAACAATCGAAATCTCATGGCCTTTGGCCTAGGGTCTGGAATTTGCACTGCGACTTGAGCCTGGCAGCTGTCAGCCTCACGGCAGCTTGCGCATCCTCGTACACGCGAGAACTCCTTCGATGATGCGAAGGAGCCGGTGCCACATGAGACTGTCTGACAACCAACATCCGATGGCCTCGAGCTAGGAAGCCTCTTGCATTCCCTTTTTATGGGCGAGAACTGCAACGCAGTTTCAGGGACGGGACCCCTCGAGAAGGATACGAAGCCGCCTCAACTTTGAAAGCAGAGAAAGGTAGCCAACGGTGGGCGAGGTGATGCACGCCTGCACAAACAGTTGCGCGGCCACAGCCGGAGCCACTTGACAGCAGCCAGTTTGAAACAATTCGGTCTTCGAAGCGGGCGAGACGGAAGACATCGCAAAGGCCTTCCTTGTTTCGCGGACTCTGAATATTGTTTATGGCGCAGACTTCAGGGCGTCATGGTCCGGGCTGTTGATGACATGCGACCCCCAGCATGCACAGTGAGGTTGCTATGAAGTGCTCAAGCTGAGTGAGAAGTGTGCTGCTCCTTGGTGCATCTCCCTGGCAGCCGGCGTCTTTTGTGACGTGCAAATCACGCTTGGGATGGGAAGGACTTAATTAGAATCGGCCACATCGATCCCAAACAAAAACAAGATGTGAAAGCGCCGCATGCGGTCGCCGTCAACGGTGCAAGCCAGTCGGAAGGCGACTGAGTGCGGCGCGCTTCTTGCCACTCGGACCAGCGACGGTCATCCTGAATCTGCGAACGAACTCATCGAGATCCCACTAATACCCTGTAGAACCTTTGCCAACTCAGACAAAAAAACGACAAACCCCTAGCTTGCGAAGCCAAAATATATTGCATCAACAGTCATCCAGACTGGGTCTATGAGGAAATCCTGGCAAAGGAGCCTGCTTCTGGGCTCTGCTCGGCGCAGGGCCAAAGGAGGCCTCGTCGTCACAAGTAGGTTCTCTTACTTAGGTTTACCGGGGCATCGGGCTTAGGCTTATGGGTCGAGAGTTCGGGTTATGTGCTGCATAGGGGCTTAAGTTTAAGGCTTGCTTGAAACTTTTCCCAGGGCTTGCATGGGTTGCACTCATGAGGGTTGCGAACTTAACTTTCGGCATGTGGGTTCATCTACTTGCACGCTTCGTGTTGATCATCGATGGTGACGGCAACAGCTACAGTTACTGTGAAGTACCGAACACTGAACGGAAATACGCCAGAGTCCCCTCAGCATTCCCGCGACACCCTACAGCTCAGAATGCAGATGCCAGTGAAGCCTGGACCCACAGAGACATGCTTCAAAGCCACCATCCTGCTGCAGTTGCTGCTCGGGACCTCCGTGCCTTTCACCCGAGAGGCGACTCGCGCATCCTGAACCCGAAGCACCCTCAACCTCCAACTTAAAAGCTCTATGTCTGAATCCCGCTTAATGGTATCTTTCCACTTCCAGTCTGTATCTAACCCTAAAGTCCAAAGCTCTCTCTCTCTCTCTCTCTCTCTCTCTCTCTCAGGCACTCGAAATTCCTAAGCTCTAAACCCCAAATCCTAAGCTCCAAACCCTAAATCCTAAGCCAAGCTCGGGGCAGGTGGGGCGAGGTGGCACTCCCCACGGCGTGCCATGGGACCGGGACCGCATGGCACACATGGTTTTATATAGGGGCCTCAATGATCAGAATAGGGTTTGGGGGCCAGTTATGCTATAATTATAGTAAGGAGCCCCCAAAACGGTATCGGTAATTCTTTAGGCCCGTGTGGTATACATAGAGGGGTGGGACAATGAGGGGCTGGGAACAGTACAGGCTTGGTACTTTGCCTTGTGGAGTTCGCTTCCCCTGCCTGGTGCTCCGTTGTAATGCGCTGATAATAGTTCAAGATGAAAAATCAAACCTGCGCGTGATGCAAAAGCATGCGTCGACAATCGGAGCCAGCTTCGTGGCAGAGTTGCCTTCGCAGTTGCAAATGCGTGAGTCCATGCTGCGTTTAAGGTCTGCCCATGATTACAAGTAGCGTCATTGCTGCAACTGCGCTATCCATGCTGCTTCCAGCACGATGGGACTATCATGCCCAAAAGCTCGACTCCCTCCCGTCCAGCAGTATCAACCCTACATCAGAAATTTTTGTTTCGCCAATGCAGGAAAGGAACCGATTTGTCGGCACACCTTTTTGAGCTCCGGCCGCTGAAGGTTCCTTGGTGGACGAGGAACACACCCTCATTAAGGGAAATGCCTGCGCATTGGCATGTCGGGGCCTGTTTCTGAAGCCTTCTCACATATCAAGAGCAAGGCAACAAAATGATTTGAAAGCTGACGATTGTTGAAGCAGATCTAAATAAGACAGGAACAGGAAGCGTAGAGTCCGTGCCTGTGTTGTGCCAAACCGCGGTACAGACCTAAAGCGCATGCTGGAAACCCAGCTGCTCTGCTCCACGCACAGCAGGACCACTGACATCTCACTCGCTTAACATCGATTTTTAACCGAAAACACGATGAGCAAACGAAAGCGCCGAGCAAGAACCTACAAAGTGCTTCTGACGCCAAGTTGTCGAGGTGGGTAGGCTAATGGGCATGATACTCGGCCGTGCCACATGGTGCCGTCTGTGTCCAGCACCTGCCGAGGACGATGGTACCAAGCCGATCCGTTTTGCGCAGGCCCGGGAGTTTCAGGAGAGAGAAGGGGTCACATCGCCTCAATTAAGCGATGCTCTTCGTTCTACCAGGGCAAAAGTTCCTGAAGCTGACATGGGGGAACAACACCCGAGATCACGGCTGCTAGCAGCTTAAGCTTGTTGAGATGCGTCGCTCCCCTGAGCTCCAAGCGGGTCTCGGCATCTTGAGTGCGGGATGACGAAAAGTTAAAGGGATTCAGAGATTCAAGACCACATCTCAGTGCCACCCAGCCTTCCGCCAGGCATGATAGGTGGGCCCAAAGCGGTTCCTCAAGAAACTCTTGAAGTTCTGGAGGTTCCTGAGGCCGAGGTGCAGGGTTCAGGCAAAGAGCATCGGCATCGGGGTTGTAGGCTTGGCAATCGCAAGTCCGACTTGCCTCGGCTGCAGCTGTCAGGAAACTCTAGCCCCGACGGAGGTCGGGCCCTCGCTTCTGCTTGCGCTAGCTAGTCACATTTTCAAGTCACACATCGCCTCGTCGGAGCTACATCGAACACATTTTCAAGAAGCATGTATGGATCAAAGCCTTCCGATCAGGCACCGTCTCCAAAAACGAACCTACGGGCCTCAGGGTGTTAGCTTACACGAGCATCGCAGGGCTGGGTCCACCAAGAATCCCCTGCTCCCCCAAGCCGCTCGTCTCTACATGATGTTCGTCTGATGCACTTAGGGGCCTATAGGCTGAGTTTCCTAGCCCCCCAAATAAGTTAACCCTGTCAATTATGGTAGGATTACATAAACCCCAAAAAGGTTACTAAGTCTACGATTCAAGGGCCTTTGTACATAAGACTTCTCCTTAGAGTGCCGAGCGACGCTCGTTGGCTCTTGCGCGCTGCGGCCTTTGCCTTCTGCTCCGCTCCCGTCCTGCACTATATTCTTTGGGGTTTACTGCGAACTGGGACTACAGTGCCACACATCATGTGCAAAGCCGAAACCACGCTTGACCGACAGAGGTTTAACTGGACTATCAGGGGGTCTGTAAATATATCTCCACTGTAGCTCGTCTATACACTGTACTGGATTATATGGTGTGGTTCGTCCAATTCATGTTTGAGGATCCTAACACCAAAAAGAAAGTACAATGGAGACTGCAGCTACAATTCCTGCAAGTTGGCTCTCGGTCGCAAGCCAAAAGGAGGCAAAGCAGGTAGGTGATCTGGGGCAATACGACATTGTGGTTTCTGGCCCGGTCGGAAAGTCTCAATTTTGGTCCCGTTTTTAAGGTTAACCAATATCACTTCTTATGACCTGGTGTGGCTTCGTTCCAAGAGATCCTAAAACTTCGAGGCCTCTATAGTGATACAAATACAACTTTCTCTCTGAGTATGAGTTTATGACAGGTTCCGCAACAGAAGCTCGCATCCTGACCTCAGAAGAGGTTACACAGCCTGCACGGCCCAGCCTCCGACGCATCTCTTGCTTCTGGTTGTACTTCCGAACCTCCGGCTCCTCAGTGACTTGCACCCGGGATGGTGCACAAAGTTGCGCGCGAGCTTCAGACGAGGTGTGTGTGCGTGTGTGCGCGTGCAGGAATAACTCAGAGGCGACTGAGCCCAACGCGACCCACCGAAGAGATGTGGCGTCCACGAGCCCTGTCCAGCAGATGGGCTGTGGATTTTCGGAAGCATCGGATGTCGGCTCCAGTGTCTCCCAAGTTTTATGGACTTACTACTGCCAAGGCCGTCAATGGGATCGCTCCATGAACTTATCGGAAGACGAGAAAACGAGCCTGTGCGCATGTCCTTCAAGGCATAGAACAACTCCTGGCACGATCCGGGCCATTTCCCCACGATGTCTGCCAAAGCGTCACTGCTCTGATCCATTGACGAAGCCCCTCTGGTCTTGGATCGGGGCCTACATATATAGTAATTAGTATATAGTAGTTTCCGAAAAAAATGGAACCCCAATATATTACCCTAAATAGAAGGATCCTTATTGTAAGGACCCCCAAACAAGGTACTCTAGTTTTCGGAAACTCCCATATTTTTCTGGTATATTCTCGAACCCTACTATAGATCCCTTACAGAGCCCTTTGAGGACCCTCTCTGATCAGACCCTTGAAGGCCGAAAGCCCCTTCCCTTGCCCCTTCCCCCGTTTGGGGCAGCGCTCCGGAAGATGCTTTTGCCAGCCTTTGCCATCGAAAGGAGGTGTTGGAGGAACAGGCAATATTTCATCATTTAGAATAATTAGAATAGGGGAGGAACGGCCAAGATTCCATAATTAGAAGAGGGTTGTGGGGCCCACTATGCTATAACTATACTAACTAAGGAACCCCCGAAATGGTATAGGTTCTGATTACGGCCCCTACAGTAGCTATCGGGACGGACAAAGGAAACATGCTCGGTGTCCACAGCTCTACTTCAGCTGCCGGCGGTCTCCATGCCAGTGTCTCAGACGAGAGCTTTCAAGCAACCATGGATCGCTCAGTCAGTAGTCTTTCTCTGCGCCGGGTGGCCACAGCGGGTAAGGCCGCTTGTCCACGCTTCCTCGGTGATTGTGAAAGAACACTCTTCACCTGACAGGGGTCAGGTTGGAGCCAAGGGCGGCTGCATGAGTGGCGGGGACGGAGATCTTGAGATCGCAGCTGGCCAGATTACTATGAGGTCAGGGAGAGAGGAGGGAGAGAGAGAGAGAGAGAGAGAGCCAGAGCAAGAGCGAGAGAGGGTACGAGACAGACGGACAAAGGAAGTGAGAGAGAGTTTGCATAATCGATTGGCTGTCAACTACTTCGATTCCAAAACTTCGAAACACCCACGGCCATAACCTGCTCGCACAGCGCCGGTGCTGGATCTATGGGCTTTCGAAGAGCTCCTGGAAGCGCGGCTTGGCTAAGCAGATATATATATATATATATATATATATATATATATATATATATATATATATATATATATATATATATATATATATGTATATATATATATATATATATATATATATGTATATATATATATATGGATATATATATATATATATATACATATGTGCTTCGCAGTATGCATGCAAACGGCAGGTGGGATTTGATTAGCAGCTTCGAATACCTTCCTGTAGGCTTATCGCAGCTAAGCCCTGCAAATGAACTTCAGGAACAGCTCCTCTTCCAGAGATCTGGGAGTTTCCAAAAAGTCGGGGTACCTTATCTTGGGGTCCTTATAATAAGGATCCTACTACTTAGGGTACCATATAAGGGTCCCCCATTTTCGGAAACTCCCATCTGAACCTAAGCCTCGCTATCCACATGCCTGGAAGTGGGCACTTGCGGCAGGGCTCCTGAGTCCGAAGAGCTTGCCTGGGCTGTGAGAGTTCTCAGTCTTGCCGCTCAGTACAGGAATTTTCGTGAGGAGTGGGGATGGCTGGCTTTTGTGACGAAACTATATAATATAATACAATATAATATAATATAATACAATATAATACAATATGATATAATATAATTTAATATAATAAAATATAACATAATATAATATATATATATATAATATAATATAATATAATATAATATAATATAATATAATATAATATAATATAATATAATATAATATAATATAATATAATATAATATAATATAATATAATATAATATAATATAATAGAACATAATATAATATAATATAATATAATACAATATAATCTAATACAATAGAATATAATATAATATAATATAATATAATATAACATAATATAATAAAATTTAATATAACATAACATAATATAATATAACATAACATAACATAATATAATATTACATATATATATATATGTATATGGAAATTTAATGTGCTAACACCGAGGATGGACACCAAGGACGAAAACTCATCGCGACCAAAGGCACTTTGCAAGCTCTGCTCATCTGTCCCAAAAGTGCAGGCTTTCGAGATAGTCTCGAGCCCTATACCATCCTGTAACTCCGAATCCATATGGGAGTTTCCGAAAACAGGGGACCCTAACATAATCCCATAAATATTAGCATCCTTCTTATACGGACCCCAAAATAAGGTACCCCCAAATTTCGGAAACTCCCATATGATCAGCAACCCGAGAGCTGACATAGAGTCCCTTAAGCCGTGTCTTCACTGTGGCTCAGTGGCTCCGCGAAATCTGCTTTTGCTCCTTCCGCTCCTCTTCGCTGTTGATGCCCAGAATTTGCACCATCATGTCCTTCCTTGGCAACTCGGGGAACGAAGACAATCTTGATTTCGAACAGCACAGCTCCATCACCCAATGCACACCACATACGTTGGCCTTTAGATAATATAAAGGCCTTACTAATTTGACTAGGGTTTTGGGCTATATTATGCTATAGTTATCATAAGGAACACCCCAAAAAATAGTGTAGGTAATTATTTACGTGAGTCCCTGCATTTTACGTCCTTCTTGACAATCCCATTGAAGGCAAAAAGGCATTGCTAGCTTTCACGAGGACTCCGACTCCCAGGCTACCGAAAGGTCACTTTGAGTCGGAATGCGAAATCTTCAGTGGTTCAACGCCCGGGACATTATTTTAAGTATACTATGGTATACCAGAGTGTACTATAGCATATTCTAGTAGACTATACTATATTGTGGTTCAGAATGGTTCTGGAGATCCTGCACTATGAAGAAAACATCCGGGGTCAGGCCTCGCACAAGTTGAACCTCCCACGACATGCTGAAGCCTGCATCCAAGTCGCGCGCTCTTGAAGTTTGCACCACAGAAAGTTCGAAACTCAAACCAGAGCTGAGCATCGTCCTCAACGAGTGTCTTAGTCGGGACAATGCAAAACATGTTGCATGCGGAATCTCACTTACTGCGAAACTGATCTCCGATTCGGAGAGATCAAGCTGTGCAGAAAGCTCGAGAAAGGTAGGCTTTTGTGCGGTTGCAGTCCGTATCTGCAGCCTTTTATGGAATGGAGAGCTTGGGTCCTCAAGCATCAAGCCTCCCAATTACTAATTGTTGCAAGTTCTGAAATGAGGGGCATCCACGGAATCTATTTGCCTTACAATTCTGCCAGCCTCGCTGATGTCTCGCAGGCTGACGTAGCCTGTCCGGTCGCTGTCCAGCTGCTGCCACAGCTGGTACCTAGCTTTCAAAAGATGTGCAACCGTGGCCTCCATGGCCAGGACGCCCAACGAAGAAGCTAAGCCAAGATGGCTTTGCTATTCTCAATGCTAGCGACCATGAACCGACTGATAGTACTCATCGAAGTGAATTAAAAAGCACATGGCAAACTGTTGAAACTCAATACTGATTTCTTTCGCAGCCATGCTTCGGATTTGGATGGGCGATGCGATCGGCCACTGCGTTGAATTCATCATATTCCTTGGGAAGCTGTGCAGCTTTCCAAAATAGCATGGGGATTTTTTGGGTACCACCTGAACCGACCGCAGCACATACATGTGTGCATACTATCACATACCCGCGTCAGCACGAATGAATATTGACAAATTTACATTGACTCCGATTTAGCACAACCCCCAAGTGGTATCTCACTCTGGAGAGCTTGCATCACGCTGGTTCTCCGATGTTTGCATAAAGTGGCCAAGCAAGCTGCGCCTTGCAGGCCAACCACCACAGTTAAGGTGCTGCGCTGCTCGGAAGTTGCGGTGCCAGTCTACAGGAATCCGAGCACAGGTCTCTGTGCTGAAGATGCAGTGACTCCGAATCAACCTATCAACCTCTACATGGAAATCAAACTCTCCACATCCTCCGCTGCCCGACAATCTTGCAAGGCACGAGGAAGCCATTTCGATCATCATCCTGGGCTATGTAGGCTGCTTGGCGCGATCACAAAATGACAGCCCTTACGCGCAAGTCACTAAGTCTGCGTGGTTGAGGGTTTGAGGCAACTGTTTGGCGGCCGATACGTTCATTAGTGCATTCAGCTCGCGTGTTTCTTGTGACATGTGTATAAAAGGATGCAAAAACGACCGAATATCCGATTCCACGATGGAGTGTACATTAAGGAGGTTAAAGCAGTCTCAAGCCTGTGCAAGGTACATCACAACTTGGTCATTTGGACCTTCCTCCCTGTGATTTTGCAGGGAACAGGTGCAGCATTCTGTTGGATTAGCTCTATTTGTCCAGTTCTCTTGTGACCTTGTGTTCTACCTCATCCGAGTACTCGGTACTCGCCTGTCGTAATTCCCTGAAACCTTCTGCAGGCTGCAGCTTCTCTTCTTACCGATGTGTCGATCAAAACCTGCAGGAAAAGCCCTCTTCAGCCGTATGGTTTCGGACTCACAAGCCACGAATTTTTGTTCAACAGCCTGCTTCTCGGATACATGCGCCAGTCAGGCCACCTGAACCTCCCGGACGAATCCACTGAAATGTAGAGGCCACCGCTAAAGCAGGAAACGAATCTCTTCGCCCCCCCCCTCCCAGGCACCCCAATTCCTAAAACTGCCGCAGTCTCGAAGTGGTCAAACCAGGCCCGCAGCAAGGAGTCTCTGTTCCAGGAGCGCAGGCAAACTCGGACAAGGGGGAGTTTCCGAAAATAGGGGACCCTATGATAGTACCTTAAATAGTAGGATCCTTATTGTAAGGACCCCAAAGTAAGGTACCCCTATTTTCGGAATAAGCAGTGCCGAAGGCTCGAGGCTTCTGGGAGTACTGCCGTGTCGGCCTTCCTGTACAAGCACGCTGCTGGAGATCTTGCGCGCTCCCTACCTATATAGACCATATAAACATGATGTGCATACTGGACTTGTACATTTGTACGGCATAAACTGCAACCGAAAGCCATCAACCACATTTATTATATATATATATATATATATATATATATGTAGCAATAACACCGAAATGACAAAGAAGTTACATTTCAATGAATGAGGATCTGAATGCAGCTGCTGAGAACGGAATCTCACTGCATATTTGTACATGTAGGACTGACATACATGCAACTCAGCTGCTACTCCATAGGGTGGGGCTCGGAGCGGTAGATTGCATCTACTGTGGGAGGTCTGGTTTCGACTGCGTACCCTGCCAGACAGAGACGTCACGTGTTGAATTTTATTCAATGGGAGACCCTCTTTTCGCTCTGTTCCTTCCTGATGGTGTGAAGTTTGCGAGCATGGAAGTCAGTCACGTGAAGACTTCACTTAGCAAGGTGGGCCACCACGGCATTGTTGACCCTTCGTTCTTGTTGAGACTGCTCCCTGCACTTCCTTGACGAGCAAAATCGCCCCAAAGAGCATGCATAAACATTGGCTGATGAGTGTCCAAGAGCTGCGATCCCGCCCACCGCATGTGGCCACGGTTGCAGGTGAATTTCAGGGCTCTCAAAGCCAAGACTCTCCGGATGATCTGTGTCCCTGCAGCATCTCCGCTGGACACTCGCCGCTCCGTCATTGGCAGCTAACCTTAGCTTGCAGCTGCCCAGAGGCCCCATAGCAGCTCCTTTTTGGGATTACCTTATAAGATTCTAACTCTATGAACCTCAAAAAGGAACTTCTATGACACCAAAACAAGAGGGGTATGCAAGCAGCGATCACTCCCGGAACCTTCGGCGGTATTCAGACTATCCGCCAATGCTGCCGGGCAGCCGTTGCCCGGCATGGCCCTTTCGGGGGCGTCTCGCTGGCTCCCCAAATCCGAGCTGAAAGGCCGGTCGAGCGACTTCGGCTGGATTTGAAGATAATTATATATATATATATATATATATATTCATATTCATAAACATACATAAATATATATATATATATATATATATATATATGTTGATCAGGGTTCAAGTCTAGGTAAGCTCTCGGCATTAAAGCTTTTGAAGCCTTCATTTGATTTCGTTTGCCAGCTGGTGTAAAGCTGCTCATGCCACTAGGCGTGGTTCGAGGCTTAGGATAGGCTTAGGCGTTGCTGGGCCAGTGTTGTTAACCGGAGCTTGCGGTGCTTGCTGGCTAGAGGCCTATGCAGGCCATATGCTTCTCACACTTCAAGAATTGGACCCCTAAAGCCTGAATTTCCAGAGTGGCCCTGTTGTCATCAGCAGTCAGCGCTAATCACAAATCCAACTGTGAAGCACAAGAGCAAAAGTCAACTTAGACAGGTGACATTGCCTGACCCCAGGCAGCTCTGATTCCTTCAGCCCTACGTTTTGGAATGCTTGGCCCACGACTGCCATAGTCCATGGCATCGAGATCGGTTTTGGGAGAAACTTTTAGCAGTAGGGTGGGATCATGCATATCTCGGAGGTCCACCATTGAAGGGTTGCCTCATTGGTATCATGGTACGGACTACGGGTGCGACGTGCACTTAAAGCGGGTCACTCTTTCATGGGCTTTGGGCCACAGCTACCGGCCAGCAGGCGTTTCCAACATGCGGCAAGGCTCGACGCGGTCCACGAATTTACGCTGCAGCATGTTGTGTGACGAAGGTGAACGATGTGCATCCAGTGCCGTATCCTCCTTCGGGGTGATCTGCAGCTTCGCAGCCCAGGAGCGTCCAAACTTAGATGGGCAATTCGAGCTGCCTGCTTGCACGCTTGCAACCTGCACTAGAAGGTTTCTCGGACGATTCCGACTGTAAAGAAGACAAGCAATATGATTAGGCATGGACGCTGATGTCAGTTCTGCCGACTGAAGCTGCACCCCGTCACGACGGGCCTACGAATTTCAACCCACCAAGAATCTCACTTGGCCAGCGGTCTAAAACCTGATAACCATCTAATAACCTTGGAAACATAATTGCAAGGAAAAAATTGTACGGCTGCTTGGAAAAGCAGTTTCGTACAGCACAACAAACACTGACATCTGCGATGCGAGGTGCCAGGCCATCCACATCCCGGGCCACCGCCGCTGCGAGGCGGTCGAGGTGGTCCCCAAGGCCACCGTTGTCGCAACAGCGATCCTGTTCAATATAGAGGCCTTGGAATAATTAAGAACGGGTTTTCGAAGGGTATGCTTACGGTAGGAATAGCATCAGTAATTTTCCAGGCCCTTGGATTATGCTCTAACGCTCGGACCCAGTCAGAGAGCGCGATCCTGTTGCGTTCACATATGGTTTGACAGTTCATCTTCATGACATCAGCTACCGCGACATCGGCTGCTGCGCTGCCGTGGTGCTGAGCAGGTTCTGGGCAGTTTGTGGCTCTTCCGGTCCTGTGAAAATGAACCATGCAAAGACCGGATTTGTAGACCACCTTGAAGTGAACTGAAAACACGTTCTGGAACCTCCGCAGCATAATTCAGTCCGAAAACCTCAGGCCCTTGAAGCAATCACAACAACAGAAGCTTCCGAACGTACGCCGTGTCAACGACTGGACATACCCAGTCGAGAGCCCTTAAGATGCCACTACCAAAGCTATGCTTTTTTGGGCCCATTATACTCTAATTCGAACAAGGATCGAACCCCCCAAAATAGTATAGGAAATTATTAAGGCCCCGATCGTGTTCTCGTCACATCTGGCAACCTTTCCTCGAAAGTGCCGAAGCGCAGCTTCACTTTGCGGCGGGTAACCTCCTGAGGTCGATCCACAACTGGCATCTCGTTCCCGTCTACTTGGTGGACCGTGTGCTACCTAGTGATGTTGCTGAGCACTCACCTGGCACAAAGACGAGTAAAAGCCAACCAATGAATGGTCAATGCAGTGCATGTTGGCACGACACAAAGAAAGGTGTAAGGTCGCAGCCGAAAGCCAGGCTCAGAGCACACCGCATGCTACAAACGCCGGTTAGAAATCTCGATATAAGAGTTCGTTTGAAGAGAATGGGAGGCGAACGGGCCAGAACATTCAGTCCACTCTAGCATGTGCACACAACTGAAAGAAGGTCTGGTGGCCTCCAGGACGTATTCTGGGTTCTTCGCCCAGTCATCCAGAGATCCACCCGTCAGCATCGCAATGACTGCAGATCGGGAAAAGCAAAGAGGTCTGGCCAAACGATGCATCAAAACACTTGCGACTGCATCTGTAGCCTTCCCCCTTGTCATCGGCCACCCAGACAGGGCCATGTAATTTTCGCAGGAGCTCTGGCCTTATGCAGGGCTTGTTTGCAGCTGCGTCTGAGATAAGACTGTCGTGTATCACAGTATACTAAGTCCTGGCGATGACGACTGTCTCTACACGACTTCCGTAGGATCTGCACTCGAAGGACTGCAGAGTTTGATTTCAGGTTAGCGTCTGAAGTTAGGATTGCCTAGCGGTGACGATTGTCTTTACACGACTTCCGTGGGATCTGCATGCGAAGGGCTTCAAAATCTGATTTCAGGATAGCATTTGAAGTTAGGATTGCCATGTTGAGCTTATTAGCTATACATAATCCCAAAGCTCAACAGTCACACTTGTTCCATGCCTGGGCACAACCCTCACTCTTCTCAAAGGTCTTTGATCCTCCCGATACTGAGGCATCAACGGGAGTGCGCTGGATTCCCGAAAAGCCTCTGCATGCGCACTCAAGCATGTTCCATTAAGCCGAGACAGTCCACGTGAGCCATGCTGAGTCGCTGTACAGCATACCGCAGAATTCTTCCATCCCGAACGAGGTCACGATGCCTCCTCAGCGCTGGCGTCAGATGGGCTGTCCTTACACAGCAACACCAGAGTTCCAAGTGACCAGGGAAAGCAACAACCAAACAAGAAATAGCACGGGCATTATATCCTACAAGGTTAAAGAGAAAGGACGTGACATGACCTGACTAGATTAAGCGACTTCCTGAATGACCAAGCGCACAAAAGACACCTCCCAAATCTCGCATGATGAGTGTCTTCACATTTGTTTCGACGCAAAGTCGAGACAACAAGACACAATTTAAGCTTCCCGATCCCACAACCACAGCGTCATCGGGAACACTTGCCACAAACTGTCATCTACGAAATGCTCGTGCCTTTTCAAAGGTGGCCAGGATCAGAGTGTACCTGGCCCACACCCAGGAGCTGTATGAGCGGAGTTTAACCGTGGGAGACTATGTGGCCGCCAGACACGACATCTTCTTGATTGTACGAGCAGGAGAAATCATGTAATGCGATGAATCACGGGGCTTCACCATCCCGAGCAAGCCTTGCACAGACTTCATGGATCCCCTGAGTACTTTGAGCTGTCATGCAGGCTCTTCGAGAATGTTGAGGACCATGGAAGAATGCTCGGCCGCACAGCGTGCTGCAAGTCGGCAGATGGGCGGGACAGGACCAACAGATAGAGATCTGTCCAGGTGGGATTTAACGTTTCGGCTTGTAGTCCATGAGTTGAATCTGTATATCTTGCGACATGTGCCCTGTGCTGCAACATGCTGCGACGTTACCAATGAACAGCGGCTGAAGCCGGGGTTGACTGGTGGCGAATACCGAGCACCACGCCAGGTGCTCGGCTATCAACAACCTTGGGTAGGGCTGCATTTGTCTGCGGTTTGGGCGACGTAGAGTTTCTGGTGCCAGTGCTTCTGCTATTTTGTTCTTCGGTCTTTGCTGTGGCCCCTACGTAAAGTATGCGACCACCCCTTGCAGAGCAAGTGGAGAGCCGAGCACATGTCCTCCTCGTTCAGCTACTAATGTACTATTCGCGGGACAGATCGCAGAAAGGCAGACCTTCTAAGGACTACGGAGGAGCCGAGAATCGGGAGTGTCACGATTCACATGAACCATCCAAGGAGTTTCGACGAGAAGGAGCCTGACTAAAGCGTGCGCACTGCGTCGGCTTGGCCATGTAGGCGATGTAGAGCACCTCAATTAGCAGGCTTGCGGATCAAGTCTCGTTAAGCCCTAGGGATCTAAGGACTCATATCTTAAGGCTTTTGGGCCCAAAGACCATACTATATAGGCTTTAGGGCTATTTTGATCCCTGGGACTAGGAGGCAGTGACAGAAACTCGCTGTGGCCAATCTTGGGCGAGAGCCAAGAGAAGGGAGCCTGCGACTGCAGGCCGCACCATGATGCACCAAGCTTTGGGTGATCTTTGCACCGAGTCGGTGGCGTTGCGGACTAGATGTTGTTGCGCCAAACTGACTTAGGGGCTCCTGGGGATTCTGAGCGTGTCGTGTCAGCCATTCGGGTTGGGAATGCTGTTCTTGTTGCCGTCAGGGTGCAAGAGTACAAGGCTGGGTAGTGCGGTTCTCTGTCCAAGCTGGATTGCAGGCTCGAGGCTCTCAAAGGGAGCGGGCAGAAACGCGCTTTGGCATCTTTGTGTTCAAGCTGGATTCGTTCCCAAGCCTTGCGCAAGATACAACAAGAGCTCGATGTCAGCTCTGCTCATGCAAGCCCCACAATCCTGCAAAGGTACGCTGGGGGCTGGTGCACCAGGACACAATCACAAGGAGGACAGCAAAATACTGAGATAGCGTTGCTTCAGGCGGACCTTATAAGGTCAATGTGACCTGACTATATATAAGTCGAACTTATCCTCCCGACGCAGTCTTTTCCAATATCGCAAGCCTCGCTCTCGAGTAGCTGTCTCACAGGCTCCGATCGCAGCATTGCACACTATCCTCGGCTGCAGCACTTTGGAAAATCTAGTTGGTACAGGCATTTGTTCGAGGTTCACGCTCTTTTGAGGGTTGTGGCCGTTCCTTGCACCCCAGTGCCATGGATCTGGTGCAAGTAAGATTTAAGACTGCTCGACAGAGCCTGATTGCACGTTGAATCCACTCCACATTCCCACAGGCCGAATTCGAAAGTGGCCTGTTGTTGCATCACAAGCTAGGAATCTGCCCAGTGGCGTACCTGTCTCGAGAATATCTACTATACGTGTGGCTGTCTTAAACAAGACGATAATTGCGCGCACATCCTCTGTCGCTGCGGGCAAGCCACTCGCTGAAGGGAGTTTCAGAGTTCAACTGCCCCAGGAGACGCAGGCTATGCCTCGCCAGTGGCAGTCTGAAAAACTGGCTCCCTTGGTGAGGTTCTGGGAGGGGTGGTAGGGAGGAGCTGAGGGTTTCGATGTTGGGCTCGGGAAAAAAAAACAAGCATGGGAGCTAGTGTTCAAAGTAGCTCCAAGCACTCACATCGATACGAAAATGAAACGATGTCGACATGACGTGCAGCTGAAGCACCTCCATCGGCCCGTCTGTCCACAAGCACTGATGGCCGAGCCCAAACCTGGGAAGCCAGGGCTTGCGATGAACACCAAGCACCACAACCGTGTGCCGACCGACAGTTTCAGCCCTTTATGTTTCGTGGTGAGCGAAGCTGTGAGTAGCACTACGTGCCGCGCGAGGTGGCCACGTTAGCTGAGAGATACATCGGTGGAAGGCTGGGAATGGCGGTTAAATGACAGGCTCTGCAGAGCCAACTTTGGAACTGGAGCCGAGATGTACTGGCAAAGGGAGTTTCAAACCGCCGAAATTTCCTGAGATGTCGACCTTTCCGGGACTGGACCTCAAAACCAGGCCACCTCAAACCAAACAACACCGAGACAAGAGCAAACTGCCGAAATGAAACTCAGCTCGACCATTCCATCCAAAAAACGGCTGGGGCCTTGCAGGCCCCAGCTGTCTTTACAGCATAGCCTCAGCCGCTGACAACAGAGTGTCTGAACATGATCCAAGCAGCTCACAGCATCCACTCTGCCGTTTGCAGCCGCACGGGCAAGCTCCCTGGCCATGGCCAGGGCAGGTCTGGACTAATACTTAGCTTGAGTGCGGGTTGCAGGTACATTACAGTACTATGGTGCACTTACATCATGAGGAGATTGTACTGTCAATGTTTTCGACGTCTACATTGCTTGCACTTTTGATGAACTGCAACTGTGCGCATGCAGGAGACACTTGCCCTTGAACCCCAAAACTAGTCTCCGGCCTTAAAGCACTTTGCCAGCTGTTCGCCGCTACGGCCCAAAGCCGAGTATTGCAGCTGACAGCATCAGCCTGGAGCCGCAAAGCCTCGAGGTGAAGATCTCAAGCTGCGGTAAGCTACAGCGCACATCGAACCCCCGTCAATCTTGCCTCAGGTCTTCTGGATCTCGAACTATTGGGAAAAAATCATGCCGACATTGGGCAATATCATTCGAGTGGTAATGCCAGAGGCATTTGCAGCAAAGAGGCGGCCATGTCATCGAACAGATGCAGAGCACGCTGCCACTCGCTCGCATCTACGCAGGCTGTGGTGATGAGACTGCAAAGGGCCTCGCATGCAGGCTTTGTTCGGTGGTCAGCTGAACTTAAACGATGCCGAGCTATTTCGTTTGGGAAAGTCACCATGCCGATCACACTGTCGATGATAGGAGAAGTCTGAACGGCTTTACGAAGAAGCATGTCGGCCCTCGGGGCAGTGAAATGCTGTCTAGTGCTCTCGCCGACCTACACATAAAGCAAGTGCCAGCAACACCACGATGCCTAAAGCTTCAGAAGAATGAGGCGACACATACTCGCAAGTGCAGCACAAGAGGCAGTGTCAAGGCTGTGCCGTTGGATACCTTTCGAACGAGTGTCGGCATTGGGGCAAACCCTATATGGAATAAGAAGTTTTGAGGAAGTTGGGGCCGTTCGTAACGCATGAGCTGTTGAACCTGATGATAGCGGCTAGCGGGAGCACTCAGGTGAGTCGAAGCGGCTCCTGTCCACATCCCACAACCGCTGAAGCAGCCGGGCGACAGAGCCCCCGGAAGAAGGACAAGACCAGAGCCCAGCGACCAGCTTTCGCGATGGCACCTCCCGGCTTACGGTTATGCCGGGCAGCACAGAGAATCTACTAGACACTTCTCCCCCGAACTCCACTCCCAACTCTCCAGCCGAAGCTAGCAGCTAGCCTTTCAAGCTGACAGGTCCACTGCCCAGAATCTCACAGTTCGGCCACTTGGGCGCCCAACTGCAGAGAACCTCCAGAACCCACTGAAGACATCACGAAATGCATGTTCGACTGTCGTTTAGCCCCTTCCCCTCCCCATGAAGCAGAGCCTGCCACTTCTGCTTGCCCCACGGAATCGATCTGTAACCTCCAGGTTCAAGCTTCCAAATTGGAGTCTCAAGCGTCCTAGAATCCGAGAAGATGTAAATATCATCGCTCGAGGGCTGGGACTCACTTCTGAAGCTGTACAGAAGAACCTCGGGATCGGCACCCAGCTTGGACCGAAGCCGAGCTTTGATTCCACACATGCGTGTAGCAAAGACCCCGTGGCATTCTGGGACATCAGGAACACTCAAACCCCAAGAACAGCAACCTGAAACAATCTCAGAGGGCCAAGCCGGAAATCCAGTCTGCGAGAACCCTCACACGCGCCTTCAACCGAAGGCCCGATGGTCCTATGTATTCAATACAAAGTTATCTAACATATGCCATACGAGATTAACATCTTAATAAGCCAGCCGAAAAAGTCGCGGTTTGGAACCTACCTACCATGAGGCTGCCTCACGGCGCCGAGCAAGGAGGCCAGGGCCAGTGCGATCTGGCGAAGCAACTTTAAACAGCACATATGGCACTGCAAGAGTAAAGTCCAATTGCTCCAACCAAGCCTGCCTGTCTGTACGATGCATGAATGCATCCAAGCACGGAGGGATGAATGGATGGCTGCATGGACGGACGGATGGATGGACGTCCGTGTGTGTGTTTGCATATGTATGCAAGTATTGCGCTGAAGATTTCGGGGTTCAACTCTTGATCTCATGCACCCCTCCGACCAGGGCCAGCGTGCTTTGGAGGCAGGACGGCCTCCCATTGGCTGCCACTTCTCGACGCGCCCAAAACGGAATTTCGTCCTTGGAGTCGTGTTCCGGAAACAGGAATTTAGATTCCAGAAACTTTGACCTAGACCAAGTCAGTACATCCAAAGCGGTGCAGGCTTCAGCCATCATGCGGTTTCTGGGTGCTCTAAGAGCCCAGTTAGTCTGCAGCTGCAATCCACAGTCCTAACTTGAAGGGACCCGCCTTTGATTCCTGCAATCACAGGCTCGGATCAGATCGGGCTCACCACCAAAGTGGAGGAGCTGCAGGGACCATTGCCAGCTGTCGGTTGCGCCTTGGGCAGCCGGCTCTCTCATCACGTAAGAGCTTCAACGGGGATGAATGGTAGATAGAGTTTGTCTACGAAAGAAGGGCATTCGACTGGTGTTTTCTGCTTTGGGTGGAGTCTTCGAGTCTCACAGTCTTTCGCCGATTCCGTCTTCAGTACATCTTACCAAGACAGCTTGGAACCGGTTCAGACCGACCCTGGGAGGACACGCCGAATCAGATAAAGTGACGGCGACAACCATGCCCTTACGTCCTGTAGCCTGAATAGCTGGACTCGCAGCGTCTAGAAGTGCCCTCAATGGTTCTAGGCGGAGCACAGTCTCGGAGGACCTCGTTGCCAAAGCGGGCGTCTGGCCGTAGTGCTGTGGCTGGCAGCTGGTGCAGGACCTCATGAAAGATGTCTCTACGTGCCAGTCAGGCTCTGCAAGTTAAGGGAAGACTATCGTCTTACCTCGAAGTCTGGCCGGCAGCTCGATGCAAGAGGAACATTTACGAGCTGTGCATGCCTGCAGGGTAGTCCGACAAAATGCTTTTCTAGCAGAGAAGTTCACTACAACCACACGTTCCAGCTCAGAGCTTGGGGCCACCAAGGCCAAGACCTGGAGGGCCATGGACCAGTATCCAAAGCCTTGGTCCGACTTAGCCAAAGAGTCCAAGTAATCGTATAGTATATATATATATATATATATATATATATACCTTAGGGTGCTGAGTACCTACCACAACGGTACTTGGACCCTTTGGGCTAGCGTCAAACCTTTCCGGCTCCGCTGGTTGCCCAGTCCTTCTGGTAAGAAAGGCGCACATGCATGGCGTGCCTGTGTACTTACAGGAATATGTACACATGTGCCTTGTACATGTAGGTACAGGCATACTTACGCACATACAAACAAACATACATACATACGTACGTACACAATCATACATATCATATAGATATGTATGTACCAGTATGGCATATGTATGTGTGCATGCAGATTCCACTCATACTTTCAAATCTTTCGAACATGCACCATCTACAACTACAGGCCTGGTCGCATCTCTACTTTCTCTCATCGCTCCTATCGGGTCCATTTGCACCACCAGGTTTTGCCATCAGCAAGCTGCAAGCTGCTTGGGCAGTTTCGAACGCGATGCAGAGCAGACTCGGAAGGAGAGGCTCCTTCGCCGTTACAGACACTGCGCAAGCGATTCTTTGAGAATCTACTACATACTGCCGAAGTGGCCCAGCACCGATGATCGGCTCGCGTTGTCTCTGCCTTGCTGACCGGAAACAATACCAAAGGTCAAGTTAATCCAGGCTTCAGAGTTGGTAGACGCATTTCGTTAAGGATGATGGGCCACATGCCTGCCGGTGCAAGCATGACTATCTGTGAAAGCTCTTGGTGCAAGAGCAGCGAGACACGACACCCATCTACGTGCTGGCAGGCACAGGAGCGGGGGCTTTTGCTCTCCCGTGCACACAGATTGAGTCCTACAGCGTCGGTACAGCGCAGTCTACTGCAGCAGAGCTGCAGTTTCTAGTCAGCTGCACAGCCCATCGCCAAGGCTGAGAACCTCTCGCAAAAGCATGGCTCGATCTGGCACAATATGTTGGCGCACCGACGGCACTCGGTGATACTAGAACCACAAACGGATGAACTTCAATGCATGGCTATCTACACATGCTGGGACTGCTCTGCCTCAGAGGGTAATCACAGGACTATGCGACGGTTAACTGAGGCGTAACAAACCGATGCACCATTCGTCAGCCTGGCTTTCTGTTCTCGAACAGACCTTCCCGATACAATAATCTTGAAACACATCGTATAAGTCTCGGCTAGTCAATCTGCCAGGGAGCTGGCAGCTGCGCCACGGCTTACAGCGGTTGGCCTGCAGCAGGCTTGCTGGGCAGACAGCAGCAAGCTTTGAGCTGAACAATGCTTGCATATGGCACCCATGGCTCGTGTGTCGCGAAGCTAGCGCACATGCATGTGCCCGGCCTGTAAGATAGCCGGCGCAAGCTGCACAGAAGATGCCTCGAGCAGATGCTCTATAATTTCGAGTCTAAGTCTACACATGGAGCCAGATCAGACATACACACACACAAACAAAAAACAACAACAAAAACATGTGTAGCATTTGCCGCTCTGGACCTGTTGGACATGTCTCGTCTCTACAATGCGCATGCCTTCGCGAAGTTCAAGGCAATTGGGAAGGCTTCGCTTTCAGACTGGTGTCGTGAGGGTTAATGCCGATCGTCTGATTCTCTTCATGCACCCTCGGCAAAATCCGACCGTCCTCGGAGACTAAAATTCCAGTAGAGCTGCAAAGCAAGCGTCCAGTCGGCGCAGCCTGGACAAGGAAGGAGATTCCCATCAAGTCTCGAAAACAACCGACAAGGCAGTCCCAGTGCGATATGGCAGATTGCCAATATCATCTGCGTTGTACTTCCCACCTGATCTCTTGTTCGCACAGAATCTACATGCTTGCCCAACCTTCATCTTTCGACTACTGCTGCCGCAGTGACAAATCAAACCAAACTTCTACTTCCACGATGAACCCGCCTTGAGAGCTTCCCATGAGTGAGTTGAAGGAGACCACATCCTCGGGTAGAAGCGAAGTTTTTTGGCCCAGCCTATGGACTACCCTTCCTGAAACTGGATCCCCACATTACATGTAGGTTGGCGTCAAGGTTCCACCACGAAACTGAGCGCCGTAATTGCCGACATCGGAGCACCATATCATGTTCAGTACTTCCAGTTTGCTTCGCGCCAAGGATCTGGCCACAACTCCAAGTCGCGCATCCTCTGTAGAAGCCCTGTTCAAAAGGCAGCGGCTTCTTGAACACAACTTGCGCATAACTTGCAAAGGATCTCTTACTGTTGGTTGTTGTCGGGCACTTACTTGAAGGCATTCAACCGTAGCTCTCCTAGACATGCCCAGATCTGGGGATGCTGATGGACCGGTGCATGCCAGCTTCAAAAGCTGTGCACAAGATGCTGCCGTTTTTGCATATCGTGTGTGTGTGTGTGTGTGCGTGCGCGTGTAATGGCATGTATACGTGCATGGTGTTGTATGACACATAAACAGGTATATGTACAAAAGAATAAATGTATATGTATATAAGGATTTATGACATGTAGTCTATGTTCTGTGTTTGTTATAATTCTGTACTATGTATTCCATCTTCTATTAATTTTTTGTATATTGGTCTATACACACCCATGTAAAGATACGTGCCACTTATAGCTATAACCCGCAACCGTACAGCTGTTGGATGTCATCCCGAGTTTAAGCTCAGGCAAGCTATGAACGACGAGCTGTAACGGGATACTCACTGATGTCGTCGGTGCTGCGTTGGAACGAGCAACAAGCCCACTAGCGACACATGCCAGGCTCTCGGAAATGGAGCTGCTGACAGTACCAGACTGCCTGCACTCTGGGCCCAGTTGTCACGACCGCTTGGTGCCATCGCGGCATTGAATGTCCTGAAAGCTTGGACAAGCGCTTCCGGTCCTGACTTTTCAACTTCACCACGAAGAGTTCTTAGCAAGCTTTTAAGCGGAACCGAGCAAACTCTGCGACGGCTGCATACAACGCTTCAAGATCCATAAGAGATGTCCCAGAGTTTCCCAACCAGATGCGCCAGAATTAAGAGCGACCTCTCCGTGGGGTGAAGACGCTTCGCCGAGGCTTGCAGAAGGATCTCGACGGCAACGTCCCAGCACCCAGCTTCCTGGGAGCATGGGCAGGAGGAAGAGATGCGGCTGACCAAGAAACGCACAAGCATAGCTCCCAAACAGAAGCAGCAGCACCTGGCAGTCCAGGCCCCCTGTATCCATACCCCAGCGCTGCCATGGGTTGTGGCAGGATGCGATTTTTAGCAGGATTCCAAGCGGTCGAAGGACGTGCCCTCTTAATAGGGCCTTGAATGCCAAAATGATCACGGGACTGTGGCAGGTGCACTTTCCACCCGAAAACAGCCCCCAATACCCCCGATACTCTAAGTACTGTCGTGGGAGCACGCTTCATCCAGTTCGGACCGCCAAAGTCCAAAGTCTTGCATTGGAACTCGCACGGTAGTTGTCCGCATAAAATCACGAGGCACTTCACGCAGATGCATGGCTAGGCTAGACTGGCAGCAGCAGCTTCACCGCGACTAGGCATCTCTGCAATCTAGCAGGCACCTGCTAGCCTGAAAGCCCATTCCCTGCCAGATGGCGACGCTTGCCCTCATCACGCCAGCGCTGAGTATCTCATGCTGGTGCAGGCCAGGATTGCCCGAGCCAGAAAGGATGTTCACCTCGCAGCTCCGGAAGTCTCTAGGAACACCAGCCCAAGTCTAACCACATAGCCTCCAATTAAGCAGGCTCTTCTCCTGTATGTCCGTGGTTTGAGAAACGAACGGAATACCTCTGCACGATAAAGAGATAAGCAGATACACATCAGACTGCACACATGTAACCGAGGCAATAGGTGGGAAGCCTATTGTTCCCTCAGCTACGCTCGCACATGTCCACATGACGCATGCACATGCGACGGATCTACAGCCTGGGTCAGATCACGACACATGCCGGCTGCTGAAATTTATCATCGATATCATTATCACGACATTGGATGCACCGCCGCATAGACAAATCCGCGGAGACAGCCCATCAAGGCAACATGCAGAAATCATCTGCGACGGGGCGACTGCAACCCGCCACTGTCCTTCTTGCTGGCCCGCAACAATGGCCTCATCTTTGCAAGCTCTGCAACGGGGAGGTGTACACACCGCGAAAGGCTGGCACGAAGCAAGTCTGGGATGTAACCGCGTCAGCATGCATGACCACAATGCATGCAAATGCCATAGCATCAAAGACAAGAGCAAACTATACAAACATGAACCACCAGAAGTCGCAATTACTATGACAAACCGAGGCATGGGCTGAACTGAGGCTGTACTCGTTCGGAGGTGTCGCGTAAGAGTGCCTTAGATTGATCATTGTCACGGGTGGCGCGATGCTGCTGATGCATGAAAGATCTTGAAGGCGGGGGTGAGAGATCCTCTGCAACACACAATATGGCTACCCGAGTCTTTCGGCATCACTGACATGGCAATTTACCTGACGCTCCATTCAAAACCATGGCAACCCTGTGGTCTCGAACTTCAACCGAACTCATCTCTATGAGTGTGGGGAGCATCTCCTGCAGCTTGTGGAGGGCCGCTGCCCAGAGGTTCCTGCAACATCGTCTTTGGAACATCTACCAGACCGTGACACGGTGGTGTATTCTGCCTGATACAGCCGCATGGCTGACCCAATCTTGGGAAATTGCGTGACACTCGACATAAACCAACATAACAACATGCCAGCAAATAACGGCAGCAGGGCTCTCAAAGCCAACAACCAGCTTCTGTTCAACTCAGTTTCTAGTCCCCCAACCGAACAGTAGCAGTGTAGAAGCTTCGCAACCAGCCCTGGCCCCACGCGCCAGAGGCTCTTCAGCTGTGGAGTCTGCGGAGCAGCGATTCCCAAATGCTAGCAGCTAGCAGGAAGTTGCAGCCCTGTCTGCATGCTCTCTGGCACAGCGCAGGGCTCTATGCCACAAGTGCTACACTTCTGAAGACCACTGGCCTTCTCGCCGAAGCAGCAATGCCAGAACCTCAAGACCCAGGGCTCTGGCTCCAACGAGCTTGGAGGACAGCGCCAGTTGAGCTTCTGATGGTGAGCGCAGGTCAGCCAACAGTGCCGGTATACGATACACGTCCGGAGCACGATTTCTCGCAATCTACCAGATCCTGCTCGCAAAAGATGGTCCGACCTTCCATCCCTTGAAAAATCGAACTTCCGAATCTCTGAGCTGCGAACTGAGGTGGTAGGTGTTCACCTGCTGGTGGGTAACTCTTCTGCACCATGTGTGCTCAGACGACTCGAAAAGTTGAACACTACTTTCAAAGGAATTCACTCCGGCACATGAAAGTTGACAAGCCGTGCAGTGTCTCTCGGCAGACATTTTCTGATGTCAGGAAGCCGAAGAAGGGCTCAGTTCAGCAACGAGCATGATAGATTTGCCACAACATCCAAACAACAGTCACATCAAAACAACTGATGCATGCGCAGCCCTAAACGCCCTAACAACTCACAACCTCTACTCAAAGTGATCTAGACTGTTGCAAAGCCAGGTTTGATAATCTCGCCCTGATGCCAAGCCTGAGACCGGAGAAGACAGCCCTGCGGCCTCTAGGGCTGATCTCCGCAAACAGCTGATCCTTCCGAAAATCATGAGGTCCACTATGCCATAGGGCAGGCGGGGTTGTGGCACATTGTCAGAGAAGCCGGGCGAACTTCAGGCAGAAGACCTCTAAGGTTTAGGGCTGATCAGAGAGACTTCCATCACACCATAAGCAGTGTTGCAGGATGGTTGTCGCCAGTTGCGGCGCACATTTTCTGCAAACAACTACATAGCATTTCATGCCACAACGATAAAAATGCACTGGGTTCTATACACGACATGTATGCAAGCATGTCCTTTGCATGCGGATGTGCCTTTGCCATGAGTACAAGATGCATGTAAGATTACACATACATTCATGCAGACAAACGTCTCCACATACGTACGTACTTGCCTGCATGAATACATTCTTACTTGCAGACTGACAGACAGCCAGCCCACCAGACAGAGAGACAGAGAGACATACAAACAAATCGACCGACCGACCGCACGAAAAAACATCCGCACGTATTTAAATACATGCACATATAAACATGTATATAAATATAAATATATAATTATATATATATATATATATATATATATAATTATATATAATTATATATATATATATATCAGTTACTACGATCGCAGACGTTCGGTACCCTCACTGAACAGACGATCGGCGATCGCACCTTTTTCATGCGACCGCAACGTGGGAGTCGGCCACAAGTCGGATCATCAAAATTTCACTTGATCTTCACAAGTCCGATCGGACCCCGATCACCGAGGGGTGCGCCATGGCATTCACCACAGACCGCAACATCATCCGATCGGACACATCAGACAAGCGATATTCCCCGCGAACAAAATCAAAAGTCTTCAATCAGATCCTCTGGCTCGGGCGAAGGCTTTTCGATCGGGTCGTCATCGAGAGGAGCCGCGCCGAGCAGATCGATCATCTGCCGCTCGGCCACCCGAAAGGCCTCAGAAGGGGTAGCTTTGGCCTTAGCGCGAGCAGGAGCCGCGCGACCAGCTTTGTACGCCGCGATCTGGGCGGGGCTGGGCGGCGCTTTGGTTGGCGGAGCCGAACCGCTCGTAGGCACCATGATCTCGGTACCGGGAGGGAGCTCCGCATTAGGCGGCAGTAGATCGAGCCGCCGAGGAGACTGCCCTGGAACCACGAAGTAAGCAGGACCTGCGATCTGCACATCAGGCGGCACTTCATCGAGCGACCTGGGAGGCTGTCCTGGAACCACGTACTGAGCAGGCTCGGCGAACATCGGTCTTCGCTCAGCTGGAGCCGCGCGAGCTTGACGAGGCTCTCCAGCTTTCGGATCCACATAAAAGATCGGTTGATCGTAACCTCTATTCGGAGCAGCTTTAGCCGGCGGAGCCTTTGGCTGCGGCCGCTGAAAAGGAGGCCGACCAGTGATCTGATCCCAGTTCAGGGGAGGATCCGCCCCGTGATCGTATCCGGCCGGCTGGTGACGATCGCGATCACGATGAGCCGGCGGAGGCACCCAGGGGATCCTTCTGCAGAAATGGCACATATCAAAGCGACGATCGCAAGCCGTGCACAAAGGAGTGCGTTGATTGGGAGCCCATTCTTCGCGGGGGACCCGAACGGCTGCGTAACATTCGTCGCTGCCGTCCCCGTCGCAGAAGCAGCCGGTGAACAGGCCGCAATCTACGCAGGGACGGCAGAGCTGATCTGTGTCGCCAAAAGCGAGCGCTTGAAGGCCAACGTCACCGCGAGGATCCCGCATACCGAAAAGAACAGATAGGGCGGAGAGGGTGGGATTTTTCGGTATGGCCCGATCGGCTATCGCCAAAATGGCCACGGAAAAGAGAAATCACGTCTGTTCCAACGATCGCGAAACTGATCTCCTAATTCCTACCCACCAGACCGATAATTAGGAGACCAGTTACTACGATCGCAGACGTTCGGTGCCCTCACTGAACAGACGATCGGCGATCGCACCTTTTTCATGCGACCGCAACGTGGGAGTCGGCCACAAGTCGGATCATCAAAATTTCACTTGATCTTCACAAGTCCGATCGGACCCCCGATCATCACCGAGGGGTGCGCCATGGCATTCACCACAGACCGCAACATCATCCGATCGGACACATCAGACAAGCGATATTCCCAGGCCCTCAAACTCCTTTCGGAAAGTCCGAGAGGACAGTGATCCAACCACACATCAGACCTGTAGCGACATCACCACGAGAGGGGTTATCCGCAGGGTTCGAATCGGTCGGTACCCGATCGATATAAACTGAGCACCTAAGCTCCAGAACAAGCTCCCAGAAAATTCCTACGAGCTCGCAGACGTCCTCTTTTGCAGAGTAGCCTTTGATCAAAGCTGCCTCCACAGGCTCAGAATCGATAAAGAGGAGGACCAGCTTTCCACGGATCTCTTCCTTGAAAGTCTGTATCGCGGCGACCGCGGCTAAAAGTTCGATCATGCAAGTCTGGGTCTTCCGGGGGAACCATCTCGACATGATCTGTCGTGACACCCCGGGGGCGAATTGCCTAGGCTGATCGTCCCTAGTGAACATCACCCCTCCAATCATCTCAGAAGAGGGATCCTTGGGGTTCGAGCTCGGCGCCGATCCATCCGTGAAGATCACCACGTCGGACTTCCTCGGCCCTGAACTGGGGATAGGCCTCGGAGGCCCATGCATCACGAGCGTCCGCCACTTGTAGAGGGAGTAGAGGAGAGCAGGCGACAGGCTCGTGCTGACCGTCTTCCGGGAGTACTGCCGCTCCGACAGAGATCTCAGAAAAGCTCGGCCGATCTTTCCCCAGAGCTGAGAAGCGCCGAACATTAGCTTCCCTCTGAGCTTCCCGGCTTGGCCAGGAGACAGCTCTTCGTGTTCCAGGATCGCCGAGATTTCTTCGAAGAGCTCCTGCTTCCTGGACTTCTTGATCTTGAGCAAGTACTGATCGAGGTCGTAGGTCACGCCCAAGATCGTGGGATCAGAGCAGAGCTGGAGCTTCTGCTGATCAAATCGAGCCCCGAGCCACCAGTAAAGAACTTTCGCTGCATCCGGGTGCCCGTTAACATCCAGGTGCCTGGTCTTCTTCTCCCTATGGTCTGGGGCTTTTGATGGCCAAACGTTGCGTAAACTCAAACTTAAAGTTGGTGTCCAATTCCTAATTTAATTTGAAGCCTCAATTGGGACACTTCTTTCTCCCTTTGGTCTGGGGCTTTTGATTGCCAAACGTTGCGTAAACTCAAACTTAAAGTTGGCGTCCAATTCCTGATTTGAAGCCTCAATTGGGACACGGGGTAGCACCCTGTGCGACGCAAAGCTTTGTCGACCCACATCACGTTGAGAATCGAAGCTATTCAACTTATCGATTGGCCGTTGTGGCAGCGGACTCCACGGCCATTGAGCCACAAAACAGCTGGCGGTTTAGGGTCGGTTTAGGGCTTAGGGCTTTAGCTTAGGGTGCAAGGATCAGGGGGGTTGCAAACATTCATTGTCCTGAAGGCCCTAAGCATGCATCATCATCGTCATCAGAATCAGGAATCAGTGTTATACAAGTTCCCAAATAATATAATAATTAATGCAATACACAGTCAGAATAGAACGGTATAAAACGAAATAAACAATAAATACTCAATGATATTTCTTACGACCAGTAATATTACCAAGAATTATAATAATGATGCGTATGCTCTTCAAAGTCAAGACGTCTCTGGGATCACTTGCCAAGCTTGCGCACAACGTCTTTCTCACGCACACTGCACTCTGAGGCTGTCTGTTGGGCCCTGGGACCGCTTGCATGAGACCTTTCTCTCACACATTGACATGTCACAGAGTCTGCACGTCATCCAACCGATGGATCGTTTTCCATCTCTTCCTCCTCTTTTGCCTGCGGGCTCGGCATGCTTGGCTTTAGGATTCGGAGGTGAGCGGCAGGGTTAGGGTCGAATCAACGGCAACGGTAATGGCGGGTCATGGAATGCTTAAGGATATGTTACTTTAAAAGTGGGAACCCACAGTGAGTCCAAAATCTGAAACCCTCTATACAGCTGACCTTTGGCCTTAAAGGTTTAAGCGGCTTATGGTCATGATGTTATGGTCTTTACATTGAAGTTTCAATCGCAGCCTCGTCAGCTTCATCAATGAAAGGCGTGTCGTTATCATTCTGAGTCTCATCGTTCTTCTCGTCAGCCTGACCCTTCTTCTCAGAAGCGATAATGCCGTTGAGGACTTCATGCTTCATCTGCTCCTTAGCGAATTGCAATGGGCAGTGTTTGGAAGGTGCATAGCAGCAGTAAGGCATCCATTGCATACAGTGTCAAGTGTTGCAAGGGAACACGTGTGGCAAACCCATGACCTAGTGATTTTAAATCGGGCAGGCGGCAACCATCTCCTTGACATTCGCGAGACTGTAGCCACTGCGCAATCGTTCCACAGCAGTTTCCTGAGGAAGTCATGACGGTAACGACTGGGGTCACGCAATAGACTGGAGGATGAAGGACAACATGACGATAGCAATTGTTTGATGTTATTCGCCTGAATTTTAACGATGCCTAGTTGCCGCGATCTCCTGCAACTTGTCAGTTGGATACAAAGCACCGCCCACCTCCAGGGGTTGCCAAATTTCAACGTTTATGGCTTGCGAGGCCTGGCTTGGGTTTCCACTCGTCATTCAATTAATTATTATTATTATGTAATTTAAAACAGGCAACGTTCATTTGGACACAACCCCCGCCACAAGGATCTCTGATTCTTGGTCTCGTATGGTCCTCCGATGGCCTTGATGCCAAACTTGGCTGAATAGTGGTACGGGTTGCTGTAGGTTATCTTGTCCTTGTCACCACCTGAGTCACCACCTGAGCAACGGCGGCAGCTTGATTCGGGGCTCCTAGGTCCTACGTTTCAAAACACGGAGCAACAGCATGCTAGCGGGCCTTTGGACTTGCTCTTACAGGCAGCCTTCGCCTTGGCTCTTGCTGCGGGGCGCTTCATTGCAGCACCTTCCTCAGCATTGTCTTGGGATTCCTGGTCGTCCTGTGCATCCTCCTTCGCTCTCGCACTCTTCGCCTGGA